TGAAAGTTCACAGGAAAGAAATTGCAGCTCATATTTCTAACCATGCTGACAATATGTGACTTAATATTAGAGTTCTGAGCTTGCTTACTGAGTGGTGAGATTTGATTGAATTCCATTGGTGGTGGTTGTTGTATGTCTTCAAGTCATTTCTGATGCATGGTGGCCCTAAGGTGACCTTATTATTTTTCTGAAGCTGAAAGCATTTGCACAATTCAGTTCTCAACACAAGAAAACTGATAAGAACTGAGTAAGCATATACAATGAAGGTAGGAAGGTCATGTCTGAGACGAAGTTCCTGTCTTTCTATAGGTTTAAATGCAGTTTGACACCACTTTAACAGCAGTGACTCAGTGGTATGTAATTGTGGGAGGTGTAAAATGGTGAGACACAAATATTATTGGCAGAGAAAACTGAAGACCTTGTAAAATTGCAGCTCACATTGTTTCATAGCATTGAGCAATGGCAGTTAAACTGATGTCAAACTGCATTAATGCTACAGTGTGATGCAACCTAAGACTTTAAACAGCATAACAAGCAATGCAGTTTCAAATTTGATAAAATTGTTAGACACCTACATACTTTGATAAAAAGTCTTGTTTAAATTTGCCAGTGAAAATCACTATGGTGTAGCACTTTGAGTGCTGGACATCGGGAGACCAGAGTTTGACTCCTCACTCAACCTTGAAAACAGTTGACCTTGAACAAGTCATATTTCTTAGTCTCAGGCAAAGGCGAACTCCCTTTGGACAAATTCTATCAAGAAAATCCCTTGTATACGTTTTAGGGTTATTATAATTCAGAAGTGGCTTGAAGACACACAATCAAGAATAAAAATGGCAATACTTATTCCGATTGGGTGTTCAAGGGAAGAACCTTATATCATTGAGATTTCACAACAGAGGAAATTTCTGATGAAACTTCCTATTGAAAGAATTGACCTGAATTCCAAAGGGATCCCTTCCCACCTTGTTCCAAATTGTGAGTTCCAAGAGCATCGGCAATGACTCTTAACTCATCAACTCAGCTCCAATACTCACACACAAAATACAGTTCAACATGTCTATCTATCTATGAAGCAATTTCTTACTTAAGAATAGAACTGAAAACCAAATTGATTATTTCTCACTCAAGGAGTCTTGCTTGAATGTCAGATGCAAATGGGAAAGGGTCAATTGAAAAAGTGTGCCTTAAGAAAAACCTTAACAGTTGGGTTTAAGATTTTCCATTTGAAATATTATAGTGAAGATTTACAATTATGATAAAGAGTCATCAACAGAATAAACCTTTAAAATTAACTATTTAATATTTCTAGCTGCAAAAGGAGCAGTGATGCTTCTAGAGCAGGCTTCATGCTAATTGCAGTGAAAGCTTGCGTGTATTCCTATAGGAATTAGTGTTAGCAGGTATTGGAAAATCATCTCATTTAGGATGAGATCAAGAATAATTTGAGCAACTACATCTTCTCACTCAGAAAAATAAGCAGTGATTAAACATAAGGATCTGCTTAAATTTGATTTTGGTAATTTTTCTCATTATTTGGTTGTTTTCTGATATAAATTTTATGTATTATAATATTATCATTATTTTTTCTCTTTAGTTCGCTCCTTACTATTGTTGCTTTGTACTGTTTTTAACTGAAAATCTCAAAGATTTTTTAAAAAAAGAAAAATAAGCAGTGATTAAACATAAGGGTCTGCTTAAATTTGATTTTGGTAATTTTTCTCATTATTTGGTTGTTTAGGGGAATCTAACCAGCTTCCAAAATGTTCTAATTAACATTCAAACTACAATTGATTTTATTGCACATGTGTGGAAAATTTAAAATCAAAATATGATTATCTAATTCATATCCCTTGTTTCTTTTTAATAGACAAATGAATTAATTATATTTAGAGTTAGAAGTAGATTATATGTTTAACTACATTGCAGAATTTGCAGTGTTTTACTTATTGTTATTTAGAATAATTGGAACTTCATTATAAGAATAGATATAATAATTCTATGAAACACACTTACCGTAACACATTTCTAGTTTGGATTTGTTAACTTGTGCGTACAGGAGGATATATGGCTGGATTTGAGTCACAAGTGGCAATGAGAAACTAATCCATGTAAACATGGTGTTTATGAGGTGCCTGAAATAACTACATAATCAAATTAATTCTGATGATGATGTACAAAAGGATGAGTGACTCATTCCCTGCAGACTGTAGAGAGCTTTTTGGTTCAATAAATTGGCCTACCGTGACAGTTTTATAACAAAGATATATGTGTCTGTGGTAGCTTTTTAAAGTAGCAGTATTAACCTATAAAATGGCTTAGTCATTACTAGCACTAATGAACTCTTGTTAAAAATATATAGACATAATAATTTTACTTTGGTCTAACTGACTGAGCAGTTGTACCGGCCTGGTTATTGTCCATGTGGCCTAGCATTGTTATCTACTGTCACAATAACATTGTTGGAAGAAAAATACGAAAGGGTATCAGGAATCCCAGGTGCCACGTACGGTGCTAATATAACTAGATGACCTGGAGGGGAAATGAAATAAATGCTCTTGGTGAAAAACATTTTGTCCAAAGACCTTTCCTTCTAAAAAACAGAATATATATATCGATATGATAACTTCTTTAATGGTTATGAACAACAAAGTGTTTTACATGTTCTTAAGTTCACTTCTAAATTATTTTTTAAAAATGAGGTAGATTTTTTAAACATTCATACAGTTGTCTGATACAGTTCACAATATTTATGGAAAAATATTTATTTTTGATTACTTTTCTGGTTTTGGATTCCTTTTGTCAGTGCTTTTTAAGGGAATAGTATTTCATGTCTACTCAACACTGAGGAGAACTGGAGGAGAACAAACATTTTTTGTTTTATTAATACAAAAGACATAAAGTAATCCAATACTGCCTTCTGAAACTTACCTGGGAATGTGTTGTTGAAGGCTTTCATGGCCAAAATCATTGGGCTGCTGTGAGTTTTTCGGACTATAAGGCCATGTTCTAGCATTCTTTCTTAACGTTTGCCTGAATTTCCCCCACCCTGGACAGTCCACAGATATAGATACACTCCGCTTTCCTCATTTCCAACTGACTTCTGAACCAACCTCTGATGCAGGTGAAATATCAGGAAAGAATGCTATTGGAACATGGCCATACAGCCTGAAAAACTTACCTGGGAATAATTTAAGAATATCTTCATTTCATTAACTTCATGAGACTGGAGGCTACAGAATAGTAATCTAGACTGGTTGTCCTGAGACCACAAATTGACAACCGTGTTCCCAAAAATTATCTTTACAATCTCAATTGTATTCTGAAGATAATTTTGGCCACTCGGTATTTAAAGAGGAGATTATTTTACAGATTTGGATCTGACTCCTGTTGAAGGCTATACTAAAGAAAACAGTAACCACTGAATTTGCTGGTGCCACTGAAATTTGATAGCAACTGTGAGAGCTAGCAGTGGGCTGGAGGAGTGCCAGAACATCCTCCTACACCATAAATGTTTGAGGCTGCCAAGCTCAACAGTAAGAATTTAAAAAAAAGAAAAAAAGAAACAGAATTTGGTTCCATTTTTTTTGGTACGGACGTGTGGCTGCTGCACTTCAAGGTCAGCAGCAGAGGTGCAACTGGATTCATAAAACAATGGTTCAAGAGCCATGTGTGGTCCACAGGCAACTTGTACTCTTCTGGTATATTAAACTATTAATTTGAGTGATTTCAACAAATCTTGCATCTGTATAGAGTGTGTCATCATGTTTGATCATAGCACCCTGTACTTAAATATGGTTCGAAAAGCTTATATGGAAGCCATCATGGATTCAAAAGCAGATGTGCATATCTGACAATGAAATAAATAGAATATAGCCCACAAAAATGCATAGTGTCCTTTAGGGGAGCAGATAAACCTCTTTTTTTGTTACCTGCTATTTTAAAAATAGTGAGAGAAATTCCTGGCATAGACTTGATTCTTATCAGTTTTCTTCACTGTCCAGCTTTAACAGCCATACTTAGAAATGGGGAATACAGTAGTACGGTCCATTCGCATTTTAGTGTTCAGTAATACAACTTTATGTTTCAGAATCTGTTGTAGGTCCTTCAAAGCTCCCCTTCCAAGTCCTAATCTTTTGATTACTTGCTTCTAGTCTCCATTTTGATTAATGACTAAACCAAGGTATTGAAAACCTGCAACTATTTCAATATATTTGTTGTCTACTTTAAAGACATGTAAAGCATCTGTGGTCATTATTTTTGTTTTCTTAATGTTCAGCTGTATTCATACGGTCATCTTTTACTTTTGCTACTCATCAGTCCTTTGCCATCCAGTGAAGTTTTTCTTTGTTTTTAGCTGCAGATAGTGTCTTTTTTAAAAGATGTAATGCAGTGGATTCCAACCTGTGGTCTGTAGACCACCAGTGGTCCGCAAGAACAAAAATATGGTCCACAGCCTCACCATTACTACACCGTTGCCTCAAAATTATGCAACAACAAGAGCAACTGGTCTCACGAAAGCCTCTTATAGTGTCAAGGCAATGGGGATGTTGGGAGAGAAGAGGCTGACGAGCCACAAAACATTATTACTACCACCTCAACTCTAGATTATTAAATATGGTTTTCTGTGGGTAAGCAGATGGCAACTACTGGATGGCATATGTTCTGTATCAGAAACTAGAGCTGATATGGTCTATCAAATGCAATTTTCTGAATCAGTACCCCAAAATAACCAAACCAAATCTAAAGTTGATTTAAAAAAAACCAATTCATAACCCTTTTGGTACTGATGCTAGTGAGTGGTCCCTTGTCAAAGTGGTCCCTGTTCAAGTGATCCCTGGTTAAAAAAAAAAAAAAGGTTGAGAACCATGGATTGTAATGCATTCCTTGATGGAAGATATTGCTATAGTTTTATGAGGACATAAATGGAATATTTCATCTCAGCATAGAAAAAGATCACATTTATGATTTTCCTAAACCAAACTTTTTTTTAATGCTAGGTAAAGCATCAAATTGGGAAGAAGATGGCTGGGGAGCCTGGGACGAATCAGAAACACAAGAACCCGTAAGCATTCATTGTTAATTATCTCTCTTATAAATGAATAATAAAATCATAGAATCATAGAGTTGGAAGACACCACGAAGGCCATCTAGTCCAATCCTTTGCCATACAGAAATATATGATCAAAGCATCCTCAATAGATGATCATCTAGCCTTTGCTTAAAAACTTCCAGAGAAGAAGGAAAAACCAATCCCCTTTCTCAACATGACATTCTGTCAAATAGCACAATGGGTTAAACCGTTGAACTGGTGAATCTGCTGACCTAAAGGTTGGCAGTTCAAAGCTGCAGGTCGGGTGAGCTCCTGCTGTTATCCCTAGCTTCTGCCAACCTAGCAGTTCGAAAACATGCAAATGTGAGTAGATCAATAGGTACTGCTTTGGCGTGAAGGTAATAAAGGCTCCCATGCAACCATGCCAACAATGTGACCAGGAGGTGTCTATGGACAACATGCTCCTCAGCTTGAAAAATGGAAAAAGAGCACCTCCCCGTGGCTGGAGTTAAGTACCCTCTCCAGATGCCGGAGATGAAAGGGGAAGCCTTTACCTTTGTTCTTTGTATTTGTGTCATTATTATTTCACTGTATTAAAGACATTGAATGCTTGCCTATCTGTGTATGTTGTAATCCGCTCTTGGGGAAATAAAGCGGAATATAATAATAGTGATGATGATAATACCATGGCTATCATGTCTCCTCTCAGTGATGTCATTGCATTGTTTCTCAGAAATTGTGAACCATCTGTTTAATACCTGTTGAAGTGTGCCCCTTTAATAATTAAATTTGGAAGATTTAGTTCACATATTTAGTTTACATTCTGGTTATCATAGAGCTTTCCTTCCTTTTATTGGTGTGATTATCTTTATTTTATTGTGGTAAATTATTTATAACTTGCCTTGATATTAATGGCACTTCATGGTTGCTAGTAACACTTTATTTCCATGAGTACTAACTTCAATGTGAAAAAATTAAATTCTTTGTTCCACATGTTTGGACATTGGTCTGAATCTAATGCTGTCTTCTCTTGCCTTCTGCAGCTCTTAGGGGGGGAAACCTGCCCTCTGGATCAGGTTTTGGAGGATATGGGAGACTGTAGTGAGAAATCCTGTTTCTGTTGGATTTCATTTATTAATCACTGCATCCTGCCCAAATTAATAACTTTTAAAAAATCTGTCTGCAGGAGGAGGAAGAGGAATCAACTGCCAAGACACAGGCAAATTCCTGGCTTCAGGACTGCGTCTTATCCTTATCACCAACAAATGACCTCATGGTAATTGCTCGTGAGCAGAAAGCTGTGTTCTTTGTGCGTAAGTATGTTATATGCATTTTTTTTAGTTTTGCTGCTATACCTTGAAAGTCAGTAGCAGTTTTCAGATAAAATTTATAATTTGCATTGGGATTCATAAGTAATGTTCAAAATGAGTTTGAAGCTGTTGGGGTTCATCCCTGGACTGCACAAGTCTTTGTGTCCTCAAGTTTCCAGTCCTCAGTGAGTAGCTAGCCTAGAGGCAGGGCCAAGCTCAGGGATTCGTTTCCCCCAAATTCATATGCGTGTTTCCTAAAGGGCTTTCTCTTTGTCTTTACTGCTAGCCACTGTCTCCTTCCCTTTTGGTGACGTAGTAATGGAATTCTGTGAGGGAACTTCCTTTTAAGTTTAAAACTGCCCTGGGAAGGCCATGCAGTCTTCAGCATTGTTACTTCTGCTTTGCTTTCTGTCAGTGAGGACGCATTTTACCTATCTGTAGGCAAAATGTAGCTTTTGCCTTTTACCTTCTTTAGAAGGTAAAAGGCAGGGCCTTTTCTGTGGTGGCTTCTCGGCTATAGAATTCCCTCCCGAATGAAATTAGATCTGCCCCCTCCCTCCTGACCTTTAGGAAGCTAGTGGAAACTTGGCTGTGAAACGAAGCTTTTGCGGAATGATGTCTGAAACCGACAATTGACCAAAGTTACTGACCACAATATATGGACTGAATATATGGACTGAGTTGACATGATTTTATCTTGGTGAATGGCTGTTATGTAATTTATCCTATATGTATTGGTTAATTTTAATGTTGATGTATGATATTTTAGATTTTAGTGTTAGCATTGAATTGCTATCTGCCAGTCTGAGTCCCTCTATGGAGGTAGAGAAGATCAGGATATATAAAAGTTTTAAATAAAATAAATAATAAATAATAAGATGAGATTAAGCTAGTTAGTGCCAAGACTTTTCTATCAAGAATATATTTCTTTTTTACTTTAATAAATCTTTTTGAACCTAAAGTTCTGACTCTGCAATCCTAAGACATTTTAAAGATTAGAAGGCTATCCCTTCTCATTATACTAGTTATGGAGTATACTCTTAGTACTCTGCTATATTTTGGTGGAATTACCCTAATGGAGGGTTATTTTTGAGCCTAACAGCTCAGATTCCCCAACAAAAGCAGTGGGAATTTTCATCATTCATGTTCTCTACAGCTTTCTGTTATTCCTGTGATGGATGAGCATGAAATTCATAATGGTTTGCTTCAGAGTTCCATAACATTTTGCTCCTGTTTTTTCTCACAGGAAAAACTGAAATAAACAGCTCTCATTCTTTCCTCATTGTTATCCCTTTTTCTTGCTACAGTCTGGTAAACTGAAGTTTTGATCCGCTGCCACATAATCTGGGCATATGCGTGACTGACTAACGATTTCAAATAGTTGTGCTTTGTTAATATAATTCAATTTGTCCGTGATGTGTGTTTTATTAATAACTTGATATACATTATTATTCTTAAAAAAGCATTTTGATTGTAAAATAGTCTTGTTCATTCTAGAACATTTTTCTTTGCGAACAGCCTCTGTGAAACATTTTTGAAAAAAAACCCAACAGTGGTTGACACATTGAAATGTGTTTCCATCACATTGTTTTTGACCATGTTTGCTTTAGTATTTGGCCTAGCTATTATAAATGGTTACTGTGAAAAACATTTTTTTGTACTATGCACCACTGGTCATGGAACAGAGACAACTTGGTGGGTGACTTGTGTCAGGAGCTGAGCAGGAGGAATGTGTCCCTTATTCCGCTGGTCTCACAGCAGCTTTTGATTCCATTGACCATGGTATCCTTCTGGGTCATTTTGCTGGGATAAAACTTGGGGGCACTGTTTTATAATGGTCCCTTCCTTTCCTTGAGAGGCAAACCCTAAGGTGGTGCTTAGGGACTTCTACTCAATCCCCTAGTCACTAAATGGGGTGGGAAGGGGGATTCCATCAGGATTCTTTTTCGCCTCCTATACTATTTGACATATATATGGAACTTCTGGGAGAGGTCATCTGGTTTTTTTAGGTATGCAGATGTAACCTAGTTCTATTACTTCTTTCTACCTCATTGCAATGAGGCATCTAAATAGGTGTCTGTCATTACTAATGGACTGGATGCTCCTGGTCAGTTCAAAGGCAGATCAGGGAATAGGGATTCCGCTTTCATTAGACTGAATTAAACTCCTCCTGAAGAGATAGGTTTGAAGTTTGATTGTACTCCTGAACTCAGCCTTGAACGTTGAGGCCCAGGTTTTTGTGGTTACGTGGAGTACTTTTGCACCTTTAAAGCTTGTGTGTCAATTGCACTATTTCATTAAGATGCCAGATCTAGCCATGGTGATAAATGCCTCAGTTACATCCTGTTTGGATTATTTTTTGGACTACATGAGGCTGCCTTTGAAGAGTGTTCAGAAACTTCAGCAAGTATAAAGAGCTGAAGCCAGATTTCTAACTGGGACTAGCTGGGACTGTACAACTCCTCCGTTGCAACAGATCCACTGGCTGCCAATTCATTTCTGGAAACAATCCAAAGTGCTGGTCTTGAGAAAAAGCCTATATGGCTCAGGACCTGGCTATCTGACAGAACATATCATCCTATACTGACATCTTCAAGGGAGGATATTCTCTCAGTCCCACCATCGTGACAGACACGAGATAGGGTTCCTGGACCTTCCATCTCACTCTGAGGACAGCCAGAATAGTTCTCTTCTTGACAAAACCATTTTACAAGCTTTTAATACAGAAAGTTTTAAAAGCATGGGCTAAAGAGTGCTATATTGTGTGAAACTCCTGTTTTTATTGCATTTTATCGTTTAAGTATATATCTGGCCTGTTTTAATACTGTGACTGGTTTATCTCCATTTTCGCTTGTTTTCATTTGTTCTTTTTAAATTATATGCTACCTTTAGTACCAGTTTTAGGAGAAAGATGGGGTATTACTTCTAATGGTGATGATTATTTACTCTTTCTTAATTTTCTACTAGACTTTTCTAAGTTGCAGTCACTCCCATGAACAAAAATAAGGCTTTCCATTTATATAGAATCTGAAACAGAATCCAAGAAAAAAATTATTTAGCTACAGATTTAATGACAACTGAATGATCCTTCTGTTAGTTCTAAATAAGTGTGCATATGATTGTTCTAGAAATAATGACAGAGGAATTCCTTTAAAAAAGTGAAGCACAGTCCTTGTTTGGAGGAGAAGAATTCAAGAGTTCAGTGATTAGATTTTGTCAACAAATACATTTACAGTAAAGATTCATTGCCAATCTACACACATCTAGGCTGAACAATACATGCAATGAAATTAAGCAGGTTAACACCATTCAGTATTTTAAAACCGTGTTCAACAGCTTAGTCTGCCAGCATTTTTATATCTCTGTTCACTTTTGATGTAAAGTCAGAAATTGCAAGCTCTGAACTACAGGATAAAATTTTACAGCATGTGTTAACATAACAGGTCATATTGTAAATCTCAGAAGTATCTTAAATTTTCACAAATCCCTCTGGATCTCAGATTGCTTTGGAGATGCTTTAATTGTGGGGAAATCTGAATGGTAATATTTGATGTGATGTAAAAGTCTAGGTCGATTCTGCACTTGTCCAGATCTTCTTAACACCCAAATGACAGATAATTGAGCAGTTCAATCTTATAAATAAACTTGAGAGAACCTGTCTTGCAAGCAGATGTCTCCTATATATGCATATTACTCTTCTTTCACCAGCCAAATGGAAACACAGGGAAAAGGGAAAAGAAGAAATGCAGTATGCTGTTGGTTGGAGTGGCTCCTTGAATGTTGAAGAAGGGTAGGTATGGAAATCAGAATATGCTGTGATGAATGTCACTGATTTTTATGCTCCCTTCTAAATCTCTGAGATGACCTAACATGCAAACAAATATGTTTTGCTCTATTCTGCTCTGTATTACCTAAAGTAAGTTGCAGTGGCTTTTACCAGTTGCTTTCTACTTGCGCTATTAGGATACTTATATTTTTCAAGCTGCCAAAAGTTAATTATGGATAGCTCCTATCTTTGATGACATTTGGGTAGACTTTTGTAAAATACCGTATTTTCCAACCTATAAGAAGACTTTTTAACCCTGGAAAATCTTATGAAGAGTCAGAGGTTGTTTTATACGCTGGGTATAAAATGTTCTTTCAACAGTCAAAATGTGGCCTGTGGTTACATCTGATATTACTTCATATTTAACAGAAAGTTAACACAGCCATTTCAAACAACCAAGGAGATTTGAAAATGTACATACTAAATCAAGTCCCTTAGCGGCGCGGCTTGAGGAGGCGGGTGGAAGGAGCAAGGGCACGGGGAGGAGAAGCGGCAGGCTGCATTGCCATGGAGATCGGCCGGGGGTGGTGGCCTGCTGGGCTGTCCCCGCCCCCCCCCCATTGCTCTAATTTCAAGGCCCTCCTCCGCCCCCACCACTCTCCCTGCTCTGCTTTGAAGCAACTCCTTCAACATCGCCATTTCTGGGCAACCGGGAGAGAGAGGAAGGAAGCAAGGCCACCCGATCGGCTGGCAGAAGCCTTTGAAGACCACCGGGCTCGCCAAGGCCCAAAGGAGCACCTCCAGACTACGACTCCCAGCAGCCCCGGGTGGTGGCATGCCTTGGACATGCCTGCTGAGGCATTCTGGGAGTCGTAGTTCCTGAATCACTGCCATGTTGCCCCGCTTTCAGGGTTTGCACTTGGGATTTCTTGTGACACATAATAGAATTGCATTGGAAGAGGGGTAGTCTTATATGGTGATGATATCCCAAACTCTATATTTTAACCTGAAAAGTTGGGGGTCGTCTTATACGCCCAGTCGTCTTATAGACTGGAAAATATGGTATGTACTGTAATAATTTGATAATATATGTCAGTTTCATTAATTTTATGTTAGTTTTATCTAATGTGTTATTGATATTTTATGTTGTTGTATTGCATCTTATATATCTTATATATCTATGGCACCACTGTGTGTTGTTTTGTAAGCTGCTCCGAGTCCCTATGGGAGATGGAGGCGTGATATAAATAAAATGTTGTTGTTTTGTTATTATATATTGAAGTTTTAAATATAATTACATCTATAAACGTGTTGAAATTGCAAGCCTTAATGCTGCTGCAACCACATCATATAAAATTTGCATTAAAACTTCCTCCCAATAATATGGGATTTTTGAGAGCTATGCATTCTCTCCTGTTTCTGTTGTTGTTGCTGCTGCTTTTCTAACAATATGGAAACTCTTTGTATCCTCTCAATATGACTTCTGATTTCCGTTGCTTGTATCCACTAGAATTGTGTGAAATTTTCACTTCCACTTAGGTAGCATGGTGTTACAGACACTGAGTTGGATGCAGGACAGTTAGGAAGAAGACAATGGGTGTTGAGAGGTATTGCTGAATTAATCACTCCAAGTGGTGATTAATATGTGTGGTTATTCACATTTTCAGATTCAAAACTTACATGGAAAATGTATTTTATTTTTATATATTGACAGCAGTAAGTTGAAATAAAGAGCATTCTGTTGGAGGAAAACATGAGCACACTCAGTGATGCATATGCAGAGAAATGCCTTGCATTATAGATCTACCTCTCACGTTTTACTGAGTAAAGTTCCATAGTGCTTGTCCCACTGTGGCTGCCATGTGGGAAGGAGAGCCTATATTTGTTCATCTAATTGTTAAGATCGTTGAAGAACATTGTGAATTTAAATTTTCACAAGCTTTAGTTTGTTCACAGTAGTCATCTAAAATCCAACAATAATACCATGACATCACTTTTCAGCCTTGTTTGCAATTGTTCATTATTGTATGATATGTGCAGTGTAATTTCCATGGGCTGTGCTTTCTGTTGGGTTATATGTCTTAGAATACATCTGGGCAAGTGATTTCTCATCTATTTTTCTGACAAATTTTAAAGGGGATATCCAAAGAGTCTTTCAATGTCATTAATATTTGCTTGTTTCATGATCTTCAGGAGGTCGAAAGTGTCTTATTACTCACATTAAAATTACAACAATATCCTAAACATTTTGGCAGAGGTGGCATTGGGGATAGGAAATATACAAGGATTAGTAACAGGACACTAAGAAACAGGGTTCCTTTGTGAGAGGTTTGTTCTGGAGCTGTGTACAGATTGTATTAACCAGATTTTATTTTTTTTACAAAGAACACCAAAATTACGTAAGCAGTAGGTAGTTTTGCATTGTCTCATAATTTTACTGAGATTAACAGTTCTGATCTCTGTGACAGTCTTGAGAATAAAATGTTTAATACCATGTTATTTTATTTTGTTTCTAGTGAATGTGTAAGCAGTGTATTGTGCATCCCATTGGCAAGTCAAAAGAGGTAAGAATTATTTTTTAACCAGATAAAATGCTTTAAAGAGCCTTGGGTGCTACCGGATAACATGCCTGATAATTCTCATCAAAATTATGGCAGCTGTGCTTTAACTGAGAATAAGAGTTGATTCTTTTTACTTTCTTTGCATGAGACAGGAGCTCCACAGGCCGCCCTGATTGGACCTGTATTGTTGTAGGCTTCACCTCTGGCTATGTTCGCTTCTACACTGAGGTGAGTTAGTTAACATTATTATCTGTTTGCTGAGGATGGTTTCACATATCACACATTTTCTGCACAGAAATAATCAAGTTTGCTTTAAAGATGGATGCCTCTATTTTTTGCTAATTCTGTGAAAAGAGAGCACTTACCAAGATGTTTATTCAAGTGTATTCGCAGCAAAAGCAGAGTAAAAAGTTCACTGCTCAAAAGCTATATACCGTATATACTCGAGTTAACCCGGCCCGAATATAAGCCAGGGCTCCTAACTTTACCACCAAAATCTGGGAAAATGTATTGACTCAATTATAAGTCGAGGGTGTGAAGTGCAGCAGCTACTGGTAAAGTTCAAAATAAGAATAGATATCAATAAAATTACATGAATTGAGGCATCAGTAGGTTAAATATTTTTGAATATTTACATCAAACTGTAATTTAAGATAAGACTGTCCAACTCTGATTAAACCATTATTCTAACCTTCTTCAATGTAAATGTGCTTACGTATCCTTTTAATAATAATAAAGAGAGTAAAATAATAAATGTAATACAGATAATAATAGAGTAAAATAATGGAAATGTAATAGTAACAGTAATAATAGAGTAATAGATGTAATAATAATAAGGTAAAATAATAAATGTAATAATAATAAATAGAGAAAATAATAAATGTAATAACAACATCAACAACAACAGAGTAAAATAATAAATAACCTTGACTCGAGTATAAGCCGGGGGGGGGGGGGGGGGCTTTTTCAGCCTAAAAAAGGAAAAACTTATATTTGAGTACATACGGTACATTTTTTCTGTCTGGAAAGTGTTAGAAAAAATGTTCTGTGTGAACTGATGCGTTGCGACTTGTAGCTTAGCTGTTAAACCACACATTGTACATTTCCCTCTCCCTCATTAATAACATATGTTTACATTTACTGTTTTCACATTTTAGAATGGAGTACTGCTCCTGGCACAGCTTTTAAATGAAGATCCAGTCTTGCAGCTCAAGTGCAGAACGTATGAAATTCCACGACATCCTGGAGTTACAGAACAGGTATATATATAAAACAGTGAAACTATTCAAAAAATAAAGTATAGTTGCCCCCTGTTTAAATCTAGTTCATATGAATCAAATACAGTAGTGGTGCACAGATATGACCCACAGTCATGGCTATAGATTTGTTTGTGCTCCTTTCTTGTTCAGATCCATCTTTCATAGTTTCTTTAATCATGGTTCCTCATGTTGTTGATGTTCATCATGGTTTAGGCTGATCATTGTTTGAAACTGATTACAAATTACGAGATTTTGTTAAATACAGTCAACCCTAGATTGGTGTATTAGTTGCAGAGATAACTAGATCAATGAGTTGCTACTGTGTTCACTGAGAAAAATGCGTTAATGTTTTATTTTACAATCTTCCCCGAGTTACTTGACTATTAGCACAAAAGTGTCAACTTATATTCTGTTTGGGAGCCTGGGAGTTTTTTAGTAAATGTAATAAACTTACTGGATTTGTATTTATTAATTGCTTACGGAATATTTATTCTGTTAAATTAAGTAACAGAATTAAGTAATTGAGTAATTAAGTTACTGTGTGTTTATTATATTGTGTTATTTTTGGCTTGGTCTCATGTTAGCCGCATCGAGTCCCCTTTGGGGAGATGGTAGCGGGTTATAAATAAAGTGTATTATTATTATTATTATTATTATTATTATTATTATTATTATTGTGATCGGTGATTTTTCTTGGTTCAGAATGAGGAACTGAGCATCCTGTATCCTGCAGCGGTGGTGACCATTGATGGTTTCAGTTTATTTCAGTCCCTCCGCGCATGTCGAAATCAAGTAGCAAGAGGTAGGTTCACATTCCCACATAAACCTGATCCATTTTGATTTCCAGTATTGAAACAATATTTGTTTATTCTTCATTAATATTTACAAGAATGCCATTGTGAATTTACATGTTGGAAGAAAATATTTGCTAGTTGTATTTGCATCCTGTGTTTTCATCATTGAGCTCAAAGAGAAGCTTTCTATGTTCAACTTAAAACACAATTAAATAAAATTTCTATCCTCTCTATAAACAAAAAGTGCAGACTTTTGTCATTCCAATATATTTCGAAAGTAGTAGTTGTACTAAACACTTTCATCAAAAAGATTCAGTAAGTAGGCAAATCATAAAGATTTATTATAATAAGACACATTTGTGGGCTACAGTTTACATGTTTTTCCCATTTACTGCAGGCCGGATACAATGTAATATCCATGTTGTGGAAGTCCAGGGTGGCATAGGGAGCGTGGGGCTCCTAGTGTGATGGCAAACAGTTCGGCAGGCACACGTGGCTTGCAGAATGTTCCTTCCCAACTCTCGGTCTATAGGGCTATATCAATATCTTGTTTCTTGGATTAAATTTTTATGTGGTCATACAAGTTGGGTAGCCCTTGTATAAAATGTTTGGAATCAGATTTTTTTTTGAATTTTGAATTTTTTCAGATGTTGGAATATTTGGATATATTTTATGTCTTGGAGATGAGACACAAACATGACATTTATGTTTCATATATACCTCATACACATAGCCAGAAGGTAACATTTTAAATAATTTAATAACCGAAACAAGGTTTGTCTGCATTGAACTATCAAAAAGCAAAGGTGTCATTACCTTAGCATCATGTGGACAGTTTTGGCTTTTGAAGGGATGGTCAGCCTGTATGCATTGTACCTTTTGTACATTACTTTACGTAGTGTAATAAAGATAAAAAATAAATATATTTCAACATTTTAGCTATTCAGTTAAAGAATACTGGGTTGCTGTGAGTTTTCTGGGCTGTATGGCCATGCAGCAATCAGTCAGGCTTTGAAGCTGCAAGACCATTCAATGCTAGTTAAGGTGGCCAATTACAACATTCACGCCTGCCTCAAACAGACAAGAGTTCTTTCTCCCACCCTGGATATTCCACAGATATAGTATAAACCTCACTTGCCTAGTTTCCAACAGTCCCCTCAACCTCCGAGGAATGCCTGCCATAGATGTGGGCGAAACATCAGGAGAGAATGCTTCAGGAACATGGCCACACAGCTCGGAAAACTCACAGCAACCCAGTGATTCTGGTCATGGAAACCTTTGAAAACACCCTTAAAGAATAGTTTGTCCCCCTTCTCCATATTGTAAGCTGGCTGAACGATGACATTTTCAATCTGACGAACAGCTTTCTGTAATCTGTTTCTTTCTGTTTAACAAAATGGGCAGCTGCAGCTTCAGGCAATGAGAATGTTCAGCCTCCTCCATTAGCCTATAAGAAATGGGGCCTGCAAGATGTGGATACCATAGTTGATCATGTTAGTGTTGGTAAGTAGTATGTTGGTCAGCATTATATAATGGATAACCGTGTTCTGTTCCACAGTGTGAGAACACAGCAGCCTGCAATAATAATAATGAAAAATCATTAAAATTATACTGTAACATGTTTAAAGTTCATAAAGCTTTAGGGTAAGCTAATATTATTCCCAGTGCTCTATTGCCTTTTTAAATTGTTCTTGTTTCAGAAAGGGTTAAATTGATATTGTTACTTGTAGGTATTTGTACTGAATCTTCGTTTGTGAAAGTCCCTGAGCACATATTTTGGTCACTTCAAAAAACTATTATCAAAGATTATTTGTATGTATAATGTGTGTTTTGATGTACTTTAGTAGCACATAGCTATTAATGAAATGTCAGTGTAAAGCACTCTAAAATATATCTATTTCTTTTAAAACAAAACAGGCATCATGACTCTATCACCTTTCGATCAAATGAAGACTGCTTCTACTATTGGTGGATTTAATGCAACAATAAAGAACAACCCTCCTGCTATGTCTCAATATATAACCGTGGGATCAAATCCTTTCACTGGTTTCTTTTATGCTCTTGAAGTAAGTATACAGTGTTCCTTTGTTACTTCACAGTTCACTTTTCACGGACTCACTGTTTTGCGGTTTTTCAATAAATATGAACTTAAAATATTTTTTGAAAATACTTTAAATATTCTCCTCTGCAACTTCCTTTCCTTCTCCCCTGCAACTTCCACGCACCCTCTCAGCCCTGAGCCGTGAATCTCTCCCGTTACCTGTGAGATGTAGATCATTTATAAACAACCTGTGATTTTTCCTTTAGGGTAGTTCACAGCCATTGTTGTCTCATGTTGCCTTAGCAGTTGCAAGTAAGCTGACATCTGCATTTTTTCATGCTGCCAGGTAATGCAAAATAGACTGAAAATATAATTAATTAGCTTCTTGTGGGTTTGTTGTTTAAGCTGAGACTATGATTCTATTGAACTCTCTTTCAAGTGGTTGGCTTGGTTGGAAGAACAAGCAAGAAGAAGAGCCTGTGCAGAAGCAGAAACCCAAGGTTGAGCCTGCCACTCCTTTAGCTGTCAGGCAAGTATTTATAGGACAAAATCTAGAAAGCTTAAACCTGTTGTTTCTCCTAATGCTGCACTGTGGATGAGATAGATGCAAATCTGAAACTTTTTATCCAGGTACACATTAGCATTCAAACAAAACCACTTTATTCAGCTGTTACATGGCACGCTCTTTCACTTTGCCCAATTTGCTCTTACCTCTGGCCACCTTGGGAGTTTATAAAGTGCTGGTGGAATTGTTTCAGGCCTAGGTCATCAAGGTTTAGTAATATATGAATAAAAAAAGAAGGCGCCTCTTATCACATGCATCTTCTTTCCCTTTCATAGTGCCATTCTCTTCCTTTGAAATGTTTTTTCCCTTAAACTCAAAGACTATATAGTTTATCCTGGCAAACTATATAGTTTATATATGTATTTATTAGGCAGTAAACTACAGTATAACCTCTGTATCTGCAGGACTGGTAGCCATCATTTCATGTATCCACATTGAACAAAATATGTCATCTAGGCAATTTCTATGTCCTACAATATGGCTCTATGTTACTTTGGGCCAGAGGTCCCTTCATTTCAGTAGGGTTCCCTGTTTTTTAATTGTTATTAGTTTTGCACATCCAGATAAAGTCTGAGAATGTATCCTGTGTGGATAGGGCATTATCCTGTTTATCTTTGATTAGAATCATAGAATCATGGAGAGAAAGGGTGTTTTTGTTCACATTATACCAGATTATAATACAAAACCACATATTTCTCTTTATGTCTGAAGTAATATATTGTGGACAAGCTAGCTGTTTCTCACAAAGGCTTGGAGTATGTATGTATGTATGTATGTGAGAGCAAGTTTAGCTTCTTGACAGTCCCTTCTGACCTGTTTCCCTTGTCTTTATCCTGTCTGCATTGTATACAGTGCAAACTCTGGCTACCAGTATTAAAAAAATCTAAAATCAGAACAGTAAATGAAGAGCAACACTCAAAAAACAGGGGAATTCCAGACCGGAAACAATCAGGGCCAGATAACACCTCCCAATAAATGACCCCCAGACAGGAAGCAGCCAGACTTTGAAGCTGCAAGGCTATTCAATGCTAATCAAGGTGGCAACATTCACGCCTGCCTCAAACAGACAAGAGTTCTTTCTCTCACCCTGGACATTCCACAGATATATAAACCTCACTTGCCTAGTCTCCAATAGACCTCACAATCTCTGAGGATGCCTGCCATAGATGCAGGCAAAACGTCAGGAGAGAATGCTTCTGGAACATGGCCATACAGCCTGGAAAACTCACAGCAACCCAGTGCAAACTCTGATCCCAAACATGAGTGCCTGAAGAGTTCATACGCTTCCCAATACACGAAGATTTAACATTTGAAATGTTCAGTCCTTCCTTGCTTCAGTGGTAGGTTCAAATAGATGGGAATTTCAGCAAAAGCACAGGAAGAGTATGTATGTATGTATGTATGTATGTATGTATGTATGTATGTGAGAGCAAGTTTAGCTTCTTGACAGCTTCTTGAAGTACTTAACAAACTTTATGTTTAATAGCATGAACGCTGGGAGTTTATTTTTTTTTAAAAGAAGTTTGTTAAATTTTAATCTTTTGATTCATGTTCCAATATTAGGAATGCCAGAAAAGTTATGACAGTATAATTATTATTCTATGAGTATGTTGTTACACTGAGGAATCAATACTGCCATTTTTGGAGAGCAACTTACATGTTTAATTTTATTTGCTCTTAGGTTTGGAATTCCAGATTCTCGTCGCCATGGAGAAAGGATTTGCCTTTCTCCTTGTAACTCTTTGGCAGCAGTAACAGATGATTTTGGACGAGTTCTTTTACTGGATGTTACAAGAGGACTTTCTGTTCGTATGTGGAAAGGTTAGACATATTGATGCATCTTGTGTTATAGTGTAGTGGCTTACATAATTGAGAGATGGTGTGGATTTCATTTCAAGCTGTCAAGTTGTCCCAATGATTACTGGTAATTTTAAAAAGCAAATAAACAGTTCATAAGGTTAGACTTCAGGTCTGATATTACAGCATCTGTAGTTTAGTTTTGAATGTTGTTAGAGAATAATCCCTCTCTCTGATGCACATGTATTCATGTGTATGCTTAATACAATTCACACGTGGTAGAGTATTCCCTTTAGGCACTTTAGTCTCTTCCTTCCAATTTCAAATCATGACATATCTTGATTGAACATCTTGAATGTGAAATGAGAAAGCCTTTAACAGAGCTTTTGCTTTCCTTGCAGACTCCTGGAAATAGATTTTTTTCCCTGTGACTCACAATGTGTGGTTGAGATGTATAATATGACTCTGTTGGCACAACAAAAATATCTTCTGTGCACATTTTTGGAGGGGAAGGAACCTCATTACTTGTTTCTCAGAATCATTGGGAAGAAATCAGTGGTAGCAATTAGGTGGCCCTTTTGGTTTTATTTTGCTCACAGCATGAATCTTGTTAAGGGCTACTTGCTAGCTATAACAGCATTTCACAAAGTATGCATGCATTACAGTAGATGTGAGAAACTTAGGATATTGACACTTATCAGGTATTCTAGGAGACCAGTGAGGAATGCTAGAAAATCTTTGCTTGGAATATAAAACTGAAAGTTGTCTAAATTAATTCCACAAATGGTCAGATTTAACTTTTCTTCCATCAAGCTGATTGGTGTTGGAATTCAACCCCACACTGCCCAAGTCTGAAGTCTTCAATAAGAAACAGTTTAGTTAGCTTAGAATAGGCTAAGGGTTTCCCTTCCCCCAAGTCTCTTGTATGACAGTTGGGAATGTATCTATTTCTTCTCTCCTCTCTTTTTCCGCTCTCATTCTGATTGGTTGTGTAGAATGAATACCTTTCTACTGCAAGCCTTTACTTTGCCATCTGTTTATTACATCTTGGTATGTGCTGTGTGCTTTGAGATCTCTCTCTGCATGTGTGTCAGAGATGTAGTGATTGGTGTTTTTCCCCTCTCTTTGAAACCTTAGAAGAGATGGGTGTTAGAGTAGCTCAGACCCAGTTCTTTACCCATGAAGAAATGTACTTAGTTCTTTATTATTGTAAATAAACCTTTTGTGGTTTTTAAGATTGGACTCTGCATCTTTGCCTGCCCAAGCTCTAAATTCTTTATAGCCACATCACACGGCACTTCATGCTCTTCTCGCTAATGAGCTGATGCTCAACTTTTGTATCCTGTTTGTTTTTGGATGCTCTGCTATATTTTAGGGTAGTTTTCCCTAACAGTTGACACTTTCGATGATCCCATGGGGATACATAAACCACATTTGATTTCTGACATTTCAGTGGTACATTTAAATAAACTCTGTTACCTCTTTCTTGGATTTTCTTCCTGTCCCAGACCACAATCTGGAGTTCACTGGAAAAGCAGATGGAAAGGAAGAGTCCATGTATTTGGTTAAGAATTAAGTTGTTGAAATGCAGCAATGTAGGGGATTCTGAATGATAAAAAAAAGATTCCAATCTTGTGGCCACCAGCATATATAGTAACAGGCACTGAAATGGCAATATACAGACCATTCTGCCTCCCCCCCCCCCCGACACTAATTAACCCATTGCCTTTTCAATTTAATTCGTGCACACTATAATGCTATGTGTGCAAATGTACTTTGTCATTATGTACTTCTCACAAACCTGGAATATTTACTACTTTGCATACATAAGCTTGTTTAAGCACATATGGCCAGTGCAATTGCAGTTGACTAGAATCAGATTAAGGAGCAATTCTGAGGCAGGAGAACAAAAAAAGTAGCCATGTGCCAGGGAGCAGCCAAGACAATTTATTTATTTATTTACTTATTTCCTATATTTTAACCTGCCCATCTCCCGGGGGGGACTCAGGGTGGCCTCACAAAAGCACCATAAGATGCCGACATCATAAAAACAATCAACCATACATTAAAATATTAAAAACAGTAATTAAACAATTGATTAAAACACGCCTGTTAAAATTAGAAAAACAAAACCTTGCCACAGAATGCTGATAGGTTTAGTTTGGATTGAGTATCCAGATGAACACTGTATTGTAGTTTAGACATAACAATATCGATAACCTTTATGCTTAGACTACTTAATTACTTTGTTTTCGCTTTCAGGCTACCGAGATGCTCAGGTTGGTTGGATTCAAATAGTGGAAGATTTACATGAAAGAGAAGCAGAAAAGATGGATTCTTCTCCATTTGGCACTCCCCAGGGGCCAAGCAGAGTTGCCCAATTCCTTGTGATTTATGCTCCTAGGAGGGGGATTTTGGAAGTGTGGAGCACACAACAAGGTCCAAGGGTTGGAGCCTTCAATGTAGGGAAGCACTGCAGGTAAGAAATCACAAATAGGATGTGTGATGATAGGCGAAAAAGAGTAGAGTAGGAATATAGCACAGTATTTTATACCTGAATGTGTTTTATTGCTCACTTCTACCACAAAAATTAAAGGTTTAAGCATGCTCTAATAGTTTTTGAAAATTTGAAGCTTAAAATCTGCTGGGGAGGCCCTTTTCTCGGTCCCACCTCTGTCTCAAGTGCAGTTGGTGGGGGTGAGAGAGATGGCCTTCTCAGTGGTGGCCCCCCCGGCTTTGAAACACCCTCCCTAGAGAAATTAGATTAGCCCCCACAGTTCAACTAACTTGGAAACATGGCTCTTCAAGGAGGTCTTCTAACAGGATTAGAACTTCCAACGTTCAAACTTGAGGACCTATTAATTTGTCTCACTCTGGCACTTTATGTGACTAATATTGGATACAGTCTTTTATATTAGCAGCCACTGCTTTGTTTTATTAAATCTTTTAAATCAATAGGGGTTTTATAGGATGTTTTATGTATATTTATTTATGTAAATTTACATGTTATTGTTTCTATATGCTCATGCACTTTATTGTATTTTGTGTATTTTTGTTGCACTGCTAAGTGTTTTTGTAAGCCACCCTTAGTCGCTTCCGGGAGGCTTTATATAAATAAAGTAGTAGTAGGAGTAGTAGGAGTTGTTGTTGTTATAGACTTGTCCTGCTTTTTATAGCTATGTGCTCTGCTGATAAACAGTTGTGAAGTTTGTCAGATGATAATTTTAAATATTTCATGTTTGTGCGTGTACAAAACTTTTTAAAGACTGTACAAAAAATGTGGTGTTGCTTTTCACTGTTTCTATCAAACCTTTGTTTAGGTTGTTGTATCCTGGCTATAAAATAATGGGTCTGAACAACATAACGAGTCAAGGTTGGCAACCACAGACTTATCAGATCTGTCTTGTTGATCCTGTTTCAGGAACAGTAAAAACGGTTCACGTACCTTTTCATTTAGCACTGAGGTAAGACTTGTTGAGCTTCACACTGTATAATCAGTCTGACTTGCCACTTAATTCAGTGAAATGATGTGAGACATTAAGCCTTGCATTAGTCTCTAACACCGCATATTCTGCCTCTGTTTCAGAAAAATGCCAGAGCCTTTCTAGAATATTTTTGTGTGCTATAAATTTGCCATTATTACTCACTTGTAATAAAAAATACATTCAGGAAACATAAACATCTTTACTTGAAATACCTCTTGCAGAAATATTGTATTTTTTATCACCTGAACTGTAACATTCAGTTCTTGGAAAATAGACGCTTCATATAGGAAAAAACCTTATTGTTGTCACAAGCAGTTATTAGGTAATGCCTTTGTCACCAGTATGAGGTGACACAGCCCCCCCCCCCCGGTTTTTAAAAATAAATTATGTGGTCTTTCAGAAGTGTTTGTCCATCTGCTGTTGGAAACATTTCTGGACTAGAGGATCCATAGCTTAATCTAGAAAGGCATTTCTTGACTTCCCTTTCCTCATTGGTATAATACTGACTTTTTGCTTTTGAATAAGTTTCAGGGTTTTGTGCTATGCTCTCCTTCACCTGAGTTTATCCACATTGTTGTGTTAATTTTGTGTTTATCTTTATCTTTCAGTGATAAGAAGAGTGAGCGAGCAAAGGACATGCATTTAGTGAAGAAGTTGTCGGCATTGCTAAAAGCTAAAACATTAAAACTGGGTAGGTTTGGTTTCATTTTCTATTTTGGGACAAAAATATGTTCTTTGAGGAGCACTCACATCACAGGTGGAAAACGACCCTGGTACACTTTATAAAATGGCTTACAATTAGATGAAAAATGCAAAACACCTTATTTTCTATTAGTTCTAAGTTGACTGAAATATTCTACACCCGGGAGGGAGATAGTTTGTGCTATTAGGCCAAGCTTTGTGAAAGGCAAAATGCAAATGTTATCAGAACCTTTTGGTTCTGTGGTGTTAACAATTCTGTGTTTTAATAACTGCAAATAACTTAGAAATGTGTAAGACTGGGCCTGGTGAATCAATAATCCAGGCTTTATTTTGAGAATGAAGTCCACTTCTCTCTCCCATTCTGACAAATCAGAATCTGAACAGGAACTCTGAGCCATTAACTCTTATATCCTAATAAAGTTGGTTAAGACTGCCAAAATTCCATCAATCTAATGAATAACATAGAAGTTAAAACTTCTTGGCATCTTCTGATCATGTGCATCATTTTGTAAACAAATTATGCTATATGTCGGATTGTTCTTTTGGAATAATTTCCTTCGCATCAAGATATACAAATAGGATGGGAAGCATTCTCTTGAGTTAGTACATATGTAGCCATTTGAGGTTCCTCTTCATAGCAATAAGAGGCTTGTGTAACTTCTCATTTATCCAAATCATGATATTTTTTATGTACAAGTCCATTTGACACTGATGGGAATTACAATATTACTCCACTTCCAATAAGTCCAGTGTAGTTTATGGAGCTGTAATTATAAAATGTGAATCAAGCGGTTATTGGATATGACTTAAGGCTGCTGTCTGCTGTGGATGCCGCTTTATGCTATGGTGGAATTTCAAGAACAGCAATCTTTTTTAAAATAGGTGCATTGTGAATTATATAAAATATCAGGTTGTGTATAAGTCAAATCTTAAGGGAGGAATGGCTGAAAGACAGAAGCAATTAGTGTTCCATAGAAAAGTAGTTGGTTTATTTGCCAACTACAGCATTTAGTAGGCCTGTGAATGCTCTTTTCTCCCTGATTTCATAACATTCATACATTTAAAATGGTCTTCTTTAAAAACAAATACAATTGGGCTGGGCTTTAGCACAGCAGGTTAATCATCAAGCTGCATTAAATCTTGCCAACCAGAAGGTTGATAGTTCGAAGCCCAGGTCAGGGTGAGTGCTTCACCTTTCAGCCCAGTTTCTGCCAACCTAGAAGTTCATAGAACACATATGTGAGTAGATAAATAGGAACCACATTAAAGTGGGGAGGTATTTTAGACATGGCAGGAGGAAGTTTATCAACAAAGAAAAATGCTCTTCAGCAAGATGGAGAGACAGCACCCCCCTGTGGCTGGAACCAAACACAGCCTCTAAATATGCTGAAAGATGGGAAAGCTTAAATATATACCTCTATCTGTTGTCTGTCTTGTCATTGTACAACTGGTATTGAATTTTTGCAGTGTATGTATTCTGTGATCTGCCCTGAGTTCCCTTCGGGGTGAGAAGGGCGAAATAGAAATACTGTAAATAAATAAATAAAAATGATGGAGTATTCTTTAATAGGAAAGAGAATAAAATAATCCTGCTATTAGTATCTCTTCTTAAACTTTGTATTACACAACACTTGGTTATATTAAATTCTCTTCATGTATTGTTGCTGTTAATAATAATAATAATAATAATAATAATAATAATAATAAGTTATTTCTTTACCACCTTTCCTCACAGCTCAAGGCAGGTTACAACATTGTAAAATACACCTTCACCTAAAAACATTCTTTAAAATAAACAGTTTCCGAACTTGGTACAAAAGTAGCCCAATGTAAAGTGCATGGCAGAAGTCCAACCCTTAGGTTACCAAATCATGCACTACCATCTTAAGGTCCATCAAATCTAGGAAGGGGTGCAGCTGGCAGATCACCTGAAGCTGGTGGTAAGCACTCCTGACACATCTACGTGGGCTGACATTTGGAAGGACGGATCCAGGTGCATTCCCAAGCTAGTTTGGGATCAAACCATGAATATAATATTTCCTAACAGTTCTTTAAAACAAATCAGAGCAAACAACCCAGGTTGCTATTCTGCTTGTCCTGCTTGGATCTGGCAAGATCTATCCAGAACTTTTCCCTTAAAAGCCCCACAGACTTTTTCAAAGTCTAAAATAAAAGTTCCAGCTAGAGTTATTTGTTTCATCATAAATTTCTGTGAAACAGAATTTTGTGTGTTTGTTCATGCATGTAGGCTGAAAGGATTTGGCTGGATGCATTTGGGTAAAGGGAATTATTTTACAAGAGTCGACAAACTCTGGGATGGATGAAAAAATGATGGCAGGCTTTATTGAACACAATTGCAAGACTGTATAGAAATATGGGAAAGAGACAGATTGGATAGATCATGGGATCACATAGGTTATCTTTGGATATTCTACTAAAAATATCCAAAGATTTGATCTTTGATATTGCTGTTTTAAATTGTTTTAAATTGTTTTTAAATTGTGTTAGATTTTAGCCTGTTCTTGTAAGCCACTCCGAGCCTCAGGGGAGTGGCGGCATATAAGTTTGAATAATAAATAAATAAAATAAAAAGGCAGAGCTTTGAGGAGCATGGTTACATCTCATGTTTGGCATATCATAGCAACCAGCAATTTTAAATGAAGATATTTCCAGTGAAAACATGTATGCTCCTTGCTCTGCTCCAAGGTAGGCAGCTGGCAAATACTAGGGGCAGCATTAGACCGTGCAGGATGATACAGCATGCTGTCAGCCACCAGCGAGGCATTTTCATGCCATTTTAGGCCTAGAAGATTCTTCAATAAGAGGAAGTCAGTTTTTTTAAAGTCCTCTGCTGAGCCTAAAATGGCGTAAGGGAGCAACATTTTGTTTTCCTATGTACTAGTTATGATAATGGCTACAGGAACCCAATGCTGCAAGATTTTCTAAAGGTCACCATGAAGGCAGGAAAGCAAACATCTGTAAGGCCAACTATGCTTCTTGGAAAAATTGTTGTGGAACCAGTTTATGCCTACCCAGAACCTTGAGTAACATTAAGAGCCTCTCAAACAAGTGAATAGCAGTAATTTTACTTCTAGGGTTTAACTAGGTGGGGTCATGTCCTAGGTTTGCTGCTGTGTGAGTAAGGGGAAACTCCATGGGATGTGTAGAGCCCCATTGGCAAAGCCAGAATATTTTATGCCATGTAACTGGGAGTGGCAGACTGTATTGCTCCCTCATATATTGGTATGAAACTGGCACTCTGCCTGCATTTACTGTGGCTTTTAAATATTAGAGTCCCTGGTACCTACAGTGACCCTCTAATTAGAGTTAATTGAATTGCTTTTCTTAATCTCTCTTGCTAATACGTATTTGTCATTTTTCCTTCCAGATTTGATTGAGGCTGAAGTAAAGGAATTAGTTCTTGATATTAAATATCCTGCTACTAAGAAACAGGTAATTAGGCACAACTTTAATTTGCAGATTAATGCCTTTGAATCAGAATTAGGAAAGTGATTTATTATAACGTCGTACATGCTGGATAAGTCCAGCATAATGTTTGGAGTGCTGTATTAGGACTGGGGAGGTGTAGGCTCAAATCCCAAGTAGACCTCATGGATTGACTTTGAGCTGCTGAACCTGCTGACTAATGGTTGGCGGTTTGAATCTGGGGAGTGGGGAGAGCTCCTGCTGTTAGGCCCAGTTTCTGCCAACCTAGCAGTTCGAAAACATGCAAATGTGAGTAAATCAGTAAGAACCGCTTCTGCGGGAAGGTAACAGTGCTCCATGCAGTCATGCTAGCCACATGGCCTTGGACAACGGCAACTCTTCGGCTTAGAAATGGAGATGAGCACCACCACCCAGAGTCAGACACAACTAGACTTAATGTCAAGGGGAAACCTTTACCTTTACCCTTTTCCCTCAGTTGGTTGCATATAGGTCCAGCTTTTCAATATGAGAAGAAGTAATGTTAAGTAACATTAAAAATAGTTCTAACATAACATTCTGTCTTAAGTTTTTTCATTGTCGTGTGCAAGTGATAAGAAATATAGTATGTGATCTGTTTTTTTGACAGGCTTTGGAAAGTATTCTCTCAACTGACCATTTGCCACTATCTTCTCTGACGAACATCACACAAACTTTGATGGATACCTTAAAAAATCAAGGTAAGTGGAAATTAATTATGCAACTCTCTGTCCTGTTCCAGATTTCATGGATTGCAAAAATGGAGCAAAGCTATACTTTCCTTGCAGAATAAATTGACAATTGAAATATTAATTACTTTTGTTTGAGAAATCCTTTTCAGCTTTTAATTTGTTGAAATTCACACTAAAGATGCATGAGCACTTCTGCAAGGAATTTAGGGAATTACTTCTCAGTTGAGAGGGAAGCATCTGGAAGGATGAGTACTTGTAACTAAGAGAGCGGTTTAGCTTTGTGTGAAAAATTCTAAATATATATTGTTGTCCTCTGTATTCAGTGCCTTGTTTATAATCCTGCTTCCAAAGAGAAGCTGACACATCCTTTGCCTGCAGGCAAAATTCTGCCAGACTTTAACCGGATAAAACAGAATCCTTGTGTAAGCAGTTGTGCCCTGGAAACATTGCTTAACATGGGGTTTAATGAAGCTGCAGAGATTTTACAGCTCCATTGAACATTCATTGAAACTGATATTCTTCTTTATCTCTCCCCCTTCCTCTCTCCAGAGGTGGAGTGTATTGATGAAGGGCTGCTCCAGTTTTGCACAAACAAACTGAAACTGTTGCATCTTCATGAGTCAGTAAATAGGCTGAATTCTCTGACTGTACAGTCAGAACCAGTACCATCTGATAACGTGAGTAATGAAAAATGTCATTTTGTGAAATAAAATGATGGAAAATCCTTATACATAGAGAGACAAAGGGATCAAGTATAGAAGAAGCGACACAGAGAAAAAGCATCTTTTAAAAAAGGCTGCACATTTCTTAAGCATATTTGCTTTCTGTCTAATGGTAGATTATGTATTAAAATCGGAGTTGATTCAAGTGCCAAAGTAATATGGGACATCATCTTTAAGGGGGACTTTAATAAAGCAGCATGTGATATAAGAGAATTTCACTGTGAGATTTTCCCAGCTTCTTCAGTCACTTTATAAGGGAGTCTCAGAGGTGGATCTCAGGTGATGTAACAAAACAGAGTTGCTCACATTGGCAAAATATCAGCCTTGTTGAGAAAATTGTGTGGGATGTTAGTACTTCTGGGGTATGCACTGTCTTCACTGTCATATATTCAATTTATTCCTTTTAAGGACCTGGCTAAATTACTCAGATTAGAAGAAGAAGAGTTTGCTAGGCTTCAGATGCTGCTGGAGAATTACAAGCAACAGAATACACAACCTTCTGTTCATTTTGCGGAGGATAAAGACGGTGTACTGTCTGTGAAAACCTTCTTGGAATACTTGGATTATGAAAAGGATGTGATTAATGTGAAGAAGCTAGAGGAGAGTGAATATGTGGCTTTAGGTATGAGCTGCTCATGAAGGACACGCATAGCAGTTGGGTCTTCACCATCTCTTATTCCCTGTAGATCAGTGGTTCTCAACCTGTGAATCCTCAGAGGTTTTGGCCAGAAATCGTAAGAACTGGTAAACTGGCTGGGATTTCTGGGAGTTGTAGGCCAAAAACACCTGGACACTCACAGGTTGAGAACCACTGCTGTAGATGGTAAAGGAAGCATCAATAACAGGAGGTGGGTGTGTTTACATTGGCGAAGAAAGAGGATTGAGAGGTGATATAACAGCCACGTTTAAATGCCTAAAGGGATGTCAAGTGTACGGTGGAGCAAACGTGTTTTCTTTCACTCCAGAGATTAGAATACCAAACAATGGATTCAAATTTCAAGAAAAAAAATCACACCTATATATCAATAAGAACTTATTCTTACTGTAAGAGCTGTTTGACAATAAATTGATTATCTCAGCAGGCCCACATTTTTGGAAGCCTTTAAAATGAAATTGCATGGATATCTCATGAATTAAGCTTTTTTTTTCAAGGCTATTAAGTGGTGAGGCAAGATTTTGCTAAATATTTTCTAATTTCCAAATTACTCCCAACTCATTACCTTTCCTTAGTTCAGTCAGTAGCTAATAGATAAGCAAGAACAGCACCCTGTCATGTCGTCCCAGTCATGACATTACTAATACTACATTGCAGCACCCATAAGCTCTGCAACACAGGGTGCAGAAAGAGGCTTCACCCTATAGACTTTTGTGCAGTGTACTATATATGTTGTACAGTAATTCTATGTGTTCGTTACCAGCTTAGACTTGATCACTGCATAGGACTAAAGCAGGAGTGAGCAACTATTGAGTGTTTGGGGTGACATTGGACATCCCAGGACTCCCCAAGAAAAAAATGAATTGCTTTTAAGCCTAATGCTCCATGGGTGCCCAAAACATGCTAGCATTTCTTTCTACATCTTTGGGCGTTATGAACATTGGGAGCAAAATTTTGTTTTTGGAAAAACTTCACAACTTTTTTGGACCATGGAGCCAGAAAAAAATGGCACTGGGGACACATAAGGTCATGGGCCCCATTTTCCCCAACTTTAGGCTGAAGAATGTGAGGAGAAAGAAAAAAGCTGAAGCAGAATCTGGCTCCTGACAACATTATTTAGTGCCCAACTGAATTGGCTCACTCATATTTTTAAGCAAAGGGTGAAGTCTATTTTTAATGATTAGGAAAACTTTTTTATGTTCATAGGAAGCTTTTTTTTCTGGAAATGTTTACATGGTGAAACTTCCACAGAAGAAATGTGTCAGATGCTGGAGTCTGCATGTTTTAGTCCACAATTGTTATTGGTGAGTGCAATGTTATCTTTTCTGTTTTACTCTTTTTTTTCAAGATTAGACCTATGTTTTGTCTGTTCATTGTCACTGAGCACTTGCTGGTTGACAGTTAGGATGGTATGTATGAGAAATGTGGAACTGCCTCTCAGCAGAAAAGGTTGTTTTTTGAGGTGAGGGTATTTGGAACTCTGGAAATATGAAACAAGTTCCATTATAATTAATCTTAAGGTAGTATTTTTTTATTTTATTTATGGTATTTATATTCTGCCCTTCTCACCCTGAAGGGGACTCAGGGCAGATCACAGTGCATACATACATGGCAAACATTCAGTGCTGTTTTTAGGCATACAAGACAGACAGATAGAGGTATTTTGGCATTTTTCCAACTTTAGTACCTGGAGCTTATGCTCGATTCTGGCCACAGGGGTGCTGTCGCTTCATCCGCTATGACAATGAGCCCTTTTGATCAGAGAAATTTCCCTCCCTTGTTCTTTGATTACATTTTTATGGTGTCATAAAATACCTCCACACTAATTTCTTTACTCACAGCTCAGCTGTTTTTGAACTGCTTAGGGTGGACAGTGAGCTGGGCTAATGGCCAGGTGCTCAATCATACTTGGGCTTCGAACTTGCCATCTTCCGGTCGGCAGTGATCTATTGCTGCTTGCAATTAACCAGCGAGGCTACAGCCCGGCCCTATTTGCGGGATACAGATGACAAATGGAATAAAATCTACAAACTACCAAGCGTCTCTCATTAAAATGGGATGTTGAATTACCCAGAATTTAAATAAAACGTGCGTGGTATTCAAATGGGGAGGAGATATAGAATTATGTGATCAAAAAGACGGCTAACAAATACAAAGCAGCAGCTTTGGATAGGAAGTACTTCTGCATAGTACATTAGTGTCACCGAAACCTTGTTGTCATAGATCAGCGGTGGACACATTTTGGGAGTTCAGAGTCTGCATTGGCACCCAAAGAAAACTTGGAGGATTATGGGTTTTCTTTTGGTCCTTTTTTGTTTTTTGCTATGACATGTCTTTGAACATCCATTACTGTCATGTCTTTGCACTTCCATGCTATAGTTATTTTAGGCTGAGGGGAATTTTTTCTACAGCATAAAGCAACCTAAAAGTTGACTTCTGGGACACTTTCTGTTGCATCTAAATGTACCCACGGAGGGCAAAAACATGGCAAAACCACCACATAACCTTCTAGGAGTCAGTAAAGTGCAATCACATGTTCCCCCGGGACTGATTTTGTGCTTTTCATTGCCCCTGAGGAATTAAAATCATGTTCTAGAATGCCCAAAAATGATCACTGAGGGTATGGAGAGATTTTCACCACATTTGGAGATCCCATGGATATCTATGTGGGTCAAAATGAAATTTTGCAAAATTTCACAAAAACCTTTATTTGTGTATGTGTGCCATATTCATGAAAATGTATCTTAGGGACTCAGGAAAGTCTCAACAGATGTCTCCATGTCTTCAGGACTTTGGGGGACATGGGGAGCAAACATATTTTGTTTTGTTGGAAAAGGTATGGTGGGGAGGAGGCACAAAAGCTGACTGCGTAACACCTTTGGGCTGCCCATCTCAGTCTTTATCTCTCTGCGTTATCATTTGTCTCATAGTCCCTGCTTCTCAGTGTGTGGCTTTCCAAAGAGAAAGAGATTCTTCATAGTGGACAATCAGTTTGCTGCCTTCATGCTGCACTGTCCCTTCTGAGCAAAATGACAGGTGAGATGAGGTCACAGCAAGGAAATAATACGTATCTTTTGAAAAGGGACCACTGACATAATTTTCCAGATAATAAATAAAACCCTGAGCAGATTTAAACCTAGTGTATATTAATCTGTTTAAAAATAAGTTAAAGGATGATTAATTTAGAATGTGATAACCCTTCTGAGGTAATTCCTGTGTTCTCAATATGTTACTTAAAATATCAGAATTTCTTCACACTCAAATGCAGTAGACTATTCAAATGTTACTTTGTACATTTTAGCAGGATGTGGAGATTTCTCTTCATTTCCCATTTCTTCTCTCAACTTGTTTGTTTCACCTTTGAGGAAAATCACACTGTCAAGAATAATTCTTCATAACTCAAGCATTTTGGAGGAGGCATTTCCTCATCTAGGAAACCACTTGTATGTGACATACATGTTGTGGCTAGACATACATAGTGTGATAACCAGCCGTTTTAAAAGTACAATTTATATTCATTTTAGGTTTTTCATTTGCTTAACTCAGTTGACAGTTTTTTACACCCGAGTTTCTACTTTCATTTCAGTTGCGATGGATGAATCATGGGATTCTCAGTCTGTCTCTCCCTGGTGGCAACAAATGCGCTCCGCCTGCATTCAGTCTGAGAATAATGGAGCTGCCTTGTTATCTGCTCATGTTGGGCATTCTGTAACAGCACAGATAACCGACAGCATAGCAGAGAAAAAGGTAAGTAATGTAGCTTTTTCCCTCTGACATACAGCAAAAAAAACCTACTCCTGAACAGATTTTAAACTTTAGGTATTGATCATGAAATGTGATTATACAGTTGTACAAGTGCAATTCCATAGTCAGTCAGTGGGCCATGCTGTCAACTTACAGTAAACTAGCCAGATAAAATTAAATATCATTGTCTGCTTGTACATTGCAAACATTGTGTGCTGATTTCAGTTGAGCTCCTTTTTCACCAACCTGGGAGAAATGAAGTGTATCAATCTAATAAATAAAATAAAATGCATTGGTGTTAATCTTGTGCAAATCTCCAAGGAATTTTATAGCACATCTCAGCTCTAAGTGAGATTATATTATTATTATATTGGTTATGATTATTATGTGTATTTATACCCCACTTTTTCACTCCACAAGGAGACTCAAAGCAGTTATTCAAGGAACTTAAGCTGGCGGGCATTGTCTTATTTTCACAGTAATTCTGTGGAGTAGGCATTTGATGGCATCACCTGCACAACTATTCACCATTTCCCCAAATTGCAGCCACTTGCCTTGTGCTTTTAAAAAAAAAATAAACAACAACAATTAGGCAGGCCTTGAAATTAAATCCCAGTATGCCAGGTCTTAGTTCATTTTTAGCGAGACAGCATGAATATGTGCCATGTTTTTCAACAGGTGGGATCTTTTTGAGGGAAGTTCAGGGTTTTTTTTTTTTCATAATAAGATACTGGAGTATAATGTGTTCAAGAAATAACACACACTGCAAGAAGTTTTCAGTTATTTTTATTCCCAGCCCAGCCTATTTTTTATTTATTTATTTATTTACGTCACTTTTATCTCGCCCTTTTCAGCCCAAAGGCGACTCAGGGTGGCGACAGACTGGCAACCATTAGATGCCACACATACATACATATATCAGTTAAAAACAATTAAATCACATTATAAAATCCATATAAAAACCATTGTTCATTCGTTCAGTTGTCTCCAACTCTTCGTGACCTCATGGACCAGCCCACGCCAGAGCTCCTTGTTGGCCGTCACCACCCCCAGCTCCTTCAAGGTCAGTCCAGTCACTTCAAGGATGCCATCCATCCATCTTGCCCTTGGTCGGCCCCTCTTCCTTTTGCCTTCCACTTTCCCCAGCATATTGTCTTCTCTAGGCTTTGCTGTCTCCTCATGATGTGGCCAAAGTACTTCAACTTTGTCTCTAGTATCCTTCCCTCCAGTGAGCAGTCGGGCTTTATTTCCTGGAGGATGGACTGGTTAGATCTTCTCGCAGTCCAAGGCACTCTCAGAACTTTCCTCCAACACCACAGTTCAAAAGCATCAATCTTCCTTCGCTCAGCCTTCCCTAAGGTCCAGCTCTCACATCCGTAGGTGACTACAGGGAATACCATGGCTTTGACTATGCGGATCTTTGTTGCCAGTCTGATGTCTCTACTCTTTACTATTTTATCGAGACTGGACATTGCTCTCCTCCCAAGAAGTAAGCGTCTTCTGATTTCCTGGCCACAGTCTGCATCTGCAGTAATCTTTGCGCCTAGAAATACAAAGTCTGTCACGGCCTCCACGTTTTCTCCCTCTATTTTCCAGTTGTCAATCATTCTTGTTGCCATAATCTTGGTTTTTTTTTATTTTTAGCTGCAACCCAGCTTTTGCGCTTTCTTCTTTCACCTTGATTAGAAGGCTCCTCAGCTCCTCCTCGCTTTCGCCATCAGAGTGGTGTCATCTGCATATGGGAACCTAACTATAATTGACAGGTGGCTTGCCCTATGATTGCAGCCAAAAGAAGCCACCTGTCTGCAGAGTCCCTGAAAGTTAGGACTACAACAAACATTCAATGCAAAGCAAACAAAATTGGAGCTCCTGGTACAGCTGTACCTGCATATCTAAGGTTGTTAATGTTTCTTCCAGCAATTTTCACCCCAGCTTTGCATTCATCAAGCCCCGCACATCGCACAATGTGTTCTGCATACAAGTTAAAAAGGTTGGGTGAGAGTATGCAGCCTTGCCGTACGCCTTTCCCAATCTTGAACCAGTCTGTTGTTCCGTGGTCAGTTCTGACTGTTGCTACTTGGTCCTTGTACAGATTCCTCAGGAGAGAGACAAGGTGGCTTGGGATGCCCATCCCACCAAGAACTTGCCACAGTTTATTATGATCCACACAGTCAAAGGCTTTAGAATAGTCAATGAAGCAGAAATAGATGTTTTTCTGAAACTCCCTGCCTTTCTCCATTATCCAGCAGATATTGGCAATCTGGTCTCTCGTTCCTCTGCCTTTTCTAAACCCAGCTTGAACATCTGGCAACTCTCGCTCCATGTATTGCTGGAGTCTTCCTTGCAGGATCTTGAGCATTACCTTGCTGGCATGAGAAATAAGAGCCACTGTTCGGAGGTTTGAGCAGTCTTTCTCATTTCCCTTTTTTGATTTTTTTTTTGGTTTTTTAAAAACCATAGAAACTATAAAAACTATAAAAATCTATATTAAAAAAAATCAATGTCTTCCAGTCCAGATCCTCATCCGTTTACATCGTCTTAGCCGTTCCATGTTCGTATTCACAACCTTGTGTTTATCTGGTCACGCTGAGGTTCCAAACGGTTTCTCGAAGACCCACTTATTCACTCTTTTCTGAAAGGTCAGGAGGGAGGGGGCCGACCCAATATCCCTGGGAAGAGAGTTCCACAGCCGAGAAGGTCCTGTCTCTTGTCCCCGCCAGATGTGTCTGCAAAGAAGGCTCAATCGAGAGCAGGGCCTCCCCAGACAATCTTAATTCTGATCATGCCCAAACACATTCCTGGTTATTGATTGATAATTGAGGGGTTTTTTTTTGATATTTTAATGATTTTTATACCTTGGTGTTTCTAATTGTTTAATTAGATTGTGATATGTTTATTATGTTTTAACTATGTTTTAGTTGATAAACTGTTGTTTGCTTTGGACTTGGTCCCGCATGTAAGCCGCCCTGAGTCCCTTTGGGGAGATGGTGGCGGGGTATAAAAATCAAATTATTATTATTATTATTATTATTATTATTATTATTATTATTATTTCTCCCTTTTGTTTGTGGCTACGGATGTTTGGGTGTGTGATGGTTGTCCACCTGTGAGAAATAGTCATGCATATATGCCATATTTACAATTGTCATGGTATGGCTTGGTGTGGGCTTGAAAGAGTTGTGTTAATGCATGTGAAATAGCAGAATCTGTTCTCCAGCTGCAAGGGCCCACAAAGTTTACCTGGAGCATAATTGCCTGACACTTCCAAGACAGAAATGCCAGTGATTTAGCTATTTATAGTGGTGGATAATTAGGCAATGCAAGGATCAGGTTTCAGATTAAGAAACACTTGTGCCTCTGTCCTAAAGCAGTCTTTTTGTGTTGGAGCATTTTTGTGCCTCATCAACTGGAATTGTTGTTGAGGTCAGTGAGAATTGGGGGGGGGGGGGGGTTGACAATATTTGAAGAAATGCTAATTTTGAAAAGTGAAAAGTGAAAAGTGAAAACTGGCACTATTTGTTGATACATATGAAACATCATGTTATAATTATAATTGTTAATCCCAACCATTGAGTCCCTGGGACCCTGGTTTATTCTGGTTGGTATATTCTGTTTGTATCAGTGATATACTTGTTGATGATATCGCTTTTTTATGTTTTTCTTCTCTAAGAACCATTTTCTCGAAGTAAAGCATTTTGCATCAAGTGTGTTATCATAGGGCAGACACATATTTGTGATTTGGCTTTTAGGTGTTCCACTTGGTCAACAAAGTATGCTTTTGCATAGTGTAAGATAGTCCGAGATAGCTCTAATTTGAATTTCTTCTTGTCTCATTGTCTTTTCTGTCAGCTTTCTCATATAACTGAAGGCAGTGATACAGACCCTTGGGAAGCACTCTCGCTCGATACAGAATACTGGAAGCTTCTGTTGAAACAGTTGGAGGATTGCTTAATCCTTCAGACACTCCTGAACAGTAAATTGAGCAAGAAGGCAAGCTACGCTTCATCACTGCAGACTGAGCCACTGGGCAGACTCTCTGTCAAGAAGCTGCTTGAAGGAGGAAAAGGTGATCTTACTGAAAAATGGTTGCTTTGATCCAAATATCCATGACTTGCTCTTCTGGAATGTGTTACTCCTTCCCTGCAAATGCTTGAACCCCAGGAGGATCTGATCTTGTCTGCACCAATTTTAATGAATGTTCAGGGAGATGTGGGAAATGGCTTTCCGAACTTCTGTGCGAGTGGCTTTTTTTCCAATTGGAAGGACTCATCTTGTTGACAAAACCCTTGTGCTGGCGAGAGTACCTCACATTTGGTGTTTATCCTTGCTAAAGATCATATTTTTACTCTATCTGAATTTTGAGGCTGTGCTATTTGATTTTTTTCCTGTTAAGGCTATAGAGCATCATTAGCATTGGAACTAAGTCCAAAATTGCATTCGTTTGATTTGAAGGAAAAGGCCATAAGAAATGTTTCAGACTATACCAAGTCCTGAAATTTAATATCCTGTGATGTCAAAAGTTATAATCCCAACTCACATGGATTATATGTATTCTTATTCACTTGCGTCTTGCAAGTTCTTTAGCATAGTACATCTTAGGCTATCCAATGTAGGCATTCTATAGACCACCACACTGAGTGGTACTGAACTCATTAATAGTGTCTCTGTGTGTGTGTGTGTGTTAAAAGAGATGGGTCAAGTTAAGGTGTGAGAATAAATATGAACTCTGAACTACATATGTAAAAGTTCTGAATGCTTGAGATTACAACTGGAATACACAGATATTTATGCATTTAGTCTGAAATTGGGAGGAAACTGAGGGCATTAGCATTCCGGCAAATATGAAACTGAAACAGATCAACCAGCACAAATGCTATTTTTTGGATTTCTCCAACAGCTCCTTCATGTTTTTTAGGTTTTTTATTTTAATTAAACTACATCTACTGTCTGTGGCTTCATGGTAAAGAACTTGCCTCTAACTAAGCCTTTTTACCGTGGGGATAGATTAGTATCAAATACTACAGCCATGGTGCTGCATTAGTTGCACCATCTGAACCAAGAACCAAAATAAATCCTGTGGAAGAAGGCTGAATCAAGATGTGCAAATAAGAATTTAATTAAAAATTTGCAGCAAAGAATGAAAAAGCACATGTATTCTGTTAGGCTTATTTTTAACAAGGCAATTTCAGGTTCAATATGGTACAATCTGATAATAGGATTAGTGTCAGTGGCTTATGTGACATGCGCTTGGGTTCATACATTAACCGGGGAAAGGCTGATAAACAAAGGATTGAGTTTTTTCCTGCCCAGAGGCACTGTGTGTTGAAATTGTCCCAAGCAATACTTGCAAAAATGTTTTATTAAACATTATAAATGTTTGTATTATAACCTCTCTGTTCCTTTCTGTGTAAATTCAATAAAAATAATACTGGGAAATTTGACTAACGTGATTTGAGTAATGGCAGTGGCATCTGAGTCTCTTGCTTTTAAAAGGAGGCTTGGCATGCTAGACTAGATAGAGGCCTGGAGGATCTACAGCAGGCCTGCAAAACCCATGACCCATCAGGTATTTTGAACTTCAGCTCCCAGAATTCCTGTCCATTGGACAAGCTGACTAGTGATTCTGTAAATTGGAGTTCCAAACACCTGGAGGGCCACAGGTTGAGCAGGCCTAATCTGTAGTCACTTCTTCACAATGTAAACAAACCTTATTACATTGGACTGGATGGCTCACGAGGTCTCTTCCAACTCTACGATTAGAAAACTCTCTATTTGTAGGAAGATAGGAAACAATCAAACTAATCCAGAGTGAGATAGTTCAAGCTGAGGCAGGCATATGTTAAATCCTTATAGAGGCAAGCAAGTTTGGGTTTTGCGAGTTTTCTGAAGAACCAAATGGAAAAATTGGAAGTAATTCCTAGGTTACCAGATTAGAAGCTTTGCTGTGTTCTATGAGCATAATTACCACTAACTCCATATTTGAAGAATCGATAACTGTTGATTTCAGCACTTTCAATTGCTTCGGGAAGTGTTCAAGACTTGTTTTCTACATAAGTCCTTCTGTAGTGACATGCTGGACTAGTTTGTAGATTTGACTGAATCAAATGTTGATGCTTTCCATGCTTTCCATTGAAGTAATAGAAAGCATGGAGAGTAAGTCTCTCTCTGTGTGTGATTCCACATGCAAATGATGTCTCATTTTTTAAAAAAACAGCATGCATTACTCTGCTTGTTTTTTAAAGCATGTAAATAGCTCAGACTAATATCCCAAATGTGACATTTCCCTGCATGCTTTTCCAATGAAATAAATAATCTCTTGCTTGCAACCTCCAGATGGATACCATCCACAAAGATGGCATCACTTGATTGTTTTGACCCTAGGGTTGTTTTCAGAGGAATGATTATAAACAAACTATAATTTGTCCTTTATTTCCTTTTTTTCCTAGGAGGCATTGCTGACAGTGTAGCAAAATGGGTCTTCAAGCAAGACCTCAGCCTACCCTTACTCAGACAGGGTCGAAAAAGGGAAGAATCTGAAATTGAGGAGGATGTGCCCCAGTCTTGCAGCAGTTTCCTTCCTGAGGGTGAAGAAGATCAGCCAGGATTACAAACAGTACTAGGTAAAGATGCAAAACATACATATGGATGAGAAGCTACTTCAGCAGCAAACTAAAACAACCAGTTTTCAGTTGTCAAACAGGAAACAAATGAAAAATAGTGTGTTTGATCTTTTCTATTTTTTTCTAGACTTACTGCGTTTAGCATATCAGCAGTTTCCTTGTAGTCTGGAGATGGATGTATTGCACGCCCATTGCTGTTGGGAGTATGTGGTGCAATGGAACAAAGACCCAGAGGTAAAGGGGATTTTTTCTTTTTTTGTACCATGTTTCCTACCTATAGACACCATCAGCAACAGTCACCCAGCAATGTTAAGTCAAAAAATGTGTTCAGCACATTTTGTTTTTAACCTAAGACCTTTTTAGAAGCCTCCTCTGAACACAGTTCTGCAGAAAAACAAGTTGTGTGATTCTTGTGAAGCTTGTTTTAAAGTGAAGTTGTATATTATTTTTATAATTGTGTTGCTGCGGGTTTTCCTGGCTGTATGGCCATGTTCCAGAAGCATTCTTTCCAGATGTCTCACCCACATCTATGGCAGGCATCCTCAGAGGTTGTGAGGCCCGTTGGAAACTAGGCAAGTGGGGTTTATATATCTGTGAAATGTCCAGGGTGGGAGAAAGAACTCTTGTCTGCTTGGGGTAAGTGCGAATGTTGCAAATGGCCACCTTGATTAGCATTTAATGTCCTAGCAGCTCCAAAGTCTGGCTGGTTGCTGTCTGGTGGAGCCTTTATTGGGAGTTGTTAGCTCGCCCTGATTGATCCTTGTCTGGAATTCCCCTGCTTTTTGAGTGTTGCTCTTTATTTACTATCCTGATTTTAGAGGTTTTTTTAGTACTTGTACCCAGATTTTTTTCATTTTCATGGTATTCTCCTTTTTGTTGAAATTGTCCACATGCTTGTGCCATTGAAATACACAAGCATGCGGACAATTTCAATAGAAAAGAGGAAACTGTGAAAATGAACAAAATCTGGCTACAAGTATTTAAAAAACCTAGAAAATCAGGACAAGAAAACAGGGGAATTTTAGACAGGAAACAATCATTTTGCACTATAGGTTTAGTTCATACTTTTCAATTCAAAAAACTGGGTTAAAGTGCTGTGTTTGACTGTGTCTTTTGAAAACTAACAAAGATTATGGTACATGATCAGAGAGATGAATCTCTGGATTATAAGCTAGTAAATTTAAATCAAACTTGGATTAATTGAATATTAGAAACAACGTTGAACAATTTATTCTATTGAAGGGTAATTACAAAAGAAGCACCACATCTCTGTGAATAATATGTATGAAATACTGTTTCACAGATGATCCTTTCTAAAAGCAGTTATTTCTCTTTATCACTGTGTCATTTTTCACCATCTGTTTTTAAAGAATGTTTTCATGTTCTGTTTTAATGGCATACCTAGTTTCACAGACTTTTTCCATCTGTGTTTCTTCAGAGGAAAGGTTTTTGAAAAAATACAGAACCTCTGCTATAATAAAATTCTTCTTGAGTATTTATTCCAAATATTATAGTACTGTTTTTCATTATATGTATGTGTTTCAACTTGCAGCATATAGGAATCAGGGACCTTAGATATAAAATCACATGTAATTGACATGTGATGAAAATCTGAAGAGTTAAATCAAAGTCTTAAAATGTTTAACATTTATCTTTGTTGCTGATGTTCAGCTTATTCACTTTACTTCAGTGATCAATTCTAACCCTTTTATTTCTGTCTTTCTTTTAATCCTTTGATACAAGGAAGCACGTTTTCTCACCAGGTCTATAGAGCATCTCAGATGCATCGATAATGCTCATGTCCAACATGGTAAGTACAAAGAGGACTGTTAAATGTCTTAGTGCAATGAGATTAGTGTGCCTAGATTGTGTTTATCCAAGTTTCCTGATTAATCTGTGAAGGTTCCACTTGAAAACATTGACAGTCAGAACAAAACTTTGTTGTTTCCAAGCAATACAGTTCTATAAAAAGAAGCAAAATGGCAATCCATATCACTTGAATCCAGTCTCAAGAGGATACATCTTTTAATAGAGCTAAACCTCGAATATAAAGGTAGATCTGTTGGGATGTGGACTGTGCCTCTCCCCCCACATTCTTTTGCATGCTGCAGTTTGGCTATTGAATCAATATTTGACCATTTGCTCATTGACAGACTGTTTCAACAGTTTCCTGCTCATTTTTGAAGCAGCGTAATAAAGCTAGCTATAAAGCTAGCTGTATCTCTATCGTCTCTCTATCCCTATCTATCCCCAACCACCGTCTCCCAAAGCAGTTGCTCTACTTCGAACTCAAGAACGGAAAATGGAATGTTGGTGGGCAGGAAAAGGGATTTAAAGATGGGCTCAAAGCCAACCTTATAAACTCTGGCGTAGACACTGAGAACTGGGAAGCCCTGGCCCTTGAGCACTCCAACTGGAGGTCAACTGTGACCAGCAGTGCTGTAGAATTTGAAGAGGCATGAATGGGGGGCGAAAGAGAGAAACGTGCCAAGAGGAAGGCGTGTCAAGCCAACCCCGACCAAGACTGCCTTCCACCTGGAAACCAATGTCCTCACTGCGGGAGAAGATGCACATCCACAGTCACCTACGGACCCACCAGTACACTGATCTTGGAAGACCATTGTACTCTGACAACGAGGGATTGCCTAAGTAAAATATATATTCCCATTTCTCAGTCTATACTATCTTACATTCTCTATGTCCCCCAAGGAGTCAGGGTGGCTCATAACAAGATGAACCGAAATGGTATAGATAAAAATGCAAATATTATATCAAAATATTAATATTCACATCCATATTCAAATCAAAACATCATTATAAAACTTGAAATATTAAAATACAGATATTTTAAAAGGAAATTGAAGACACATTGGTTGCAAAGTACAGTATCTCCTCATTCAAAGTTTCATGGGAAAGTGATCTCATTCCAAGGAAATGAAGGTTTTCTTATTGCGGAGGATTGATACCATGCTGTTCAGATATTTCCTATCCAACCTATTTGCTCTTTGAGCTTAAATTCATGTAATTGTTTCAGGTATTTCATTAATGATGTGGAACACATTCATTGCGAAAAGACTTTCTGCTGCTACTTACTTAATGGACAAGGTAATTGCTACCATTTCTCATTTTTTGCAAAGTCGGGAAGATGGTTGTTACTCAGTTAAAACTTAGTTATGTAACTGTATGAAGTTAGTTAGCAGATTGATTAATTCTAAGACAGCTAGTTTTATCCGCAGGTACTTCTGCGTTTTATAAATTTTAACCATGTTATTATTATGTGATGTTTTGCCTTCATAGTGACTGTTGCTATAATCTTATGTATTGTTTTTATGCTTTTGTATTGTTTATTTTATATTTAGCACTCTTTTGTGCTTTTGTGAGCAAGAGGACTGACAGAGAAGTCATCTGTAGATTTCTGTCCTGGTAGAACTTCTTGCTATTTCTCCCATTGCAAGATAGCAGCCATTGTGTGTTGTTAAAAGGAAAACTGCCAGAAAGGAAGCTTTAAAAATGAATGGATGGGATATCTCCTCTGGTTTGTGAGATTCACAGGAAATGGTGGTGGAATGAGGGGAAGAGAGCTCTTTCTGTTCGTTGGTGGGAAAACACCAATATGTTACGCTCAATACTTTTTCAGTACGTTGATTCATATTGAGAAATCTTTTCTGTTATAGGTTGGAAAAGCACCAAAGGATAGATTGTGCAGAAAGGTAAGGGTTTTTTCCCCACTGCTATATTTTCTTGGAAAGACTGCGTAAGAATGATGTATCTGATGGCAAATAAATAAATAAATAAATATCTACATGAAACCGCTGGGTGAGGTTATCCGGAGTTTTGGAGTTGTGTGCCATCTGTACACAGATGACACCCAACTCTATTACTTATTTCCACCGAATTCCAAGAAGCCTCCCAGACCCTGAACCAGTGTCTGACAACTGTGATGGACTGGATGAGGGCTAACAGGTTGAAGCTTAATCCAGACAAGACAGAGGTCCTCCTGGTCAGTCGCGGGGCTGACCGGGGTATTGGGTGGCAACCTGTGCTCGATGGGCTTACACTCCCCCTGAAGGCACAGGTCTGTAGCTTGGGGGTCCTCCTGGACTCAATGCTGTTGCTTGATGCTCAAGTGTCAGCGGTGGCCGGGAGGGCCTTTACACAACTCAAACTTGTGCGCCAGCTGCGACCATACCTCGTGAAGTCTGACTTGGCCAGGGTGGTCCACGCCTTGGTTACATCCAAACTGGACTATTGCAATGCGCTCTACATGGGGCTGCCCTTGAAGACGGCCCGGAATTTGAACTGGTACAGCGGACAACAGCCAGGCTCCTTACTGGAGCAAACTATAGGGACCATGCAACACTCCTATTAAAACAGCTTCATTGGCTGCTGACAAGCTGCCAAGCCAAATTCAAGGTGCAGGTCATGACGTATAAAGCCCTAAACTGTTTGGGCCCCGCCTATCTCCACGATCGCATCTCCTTCTATGAACCAGCGTGAGCTCTAAGATCTTCTGGGGAGGCCCTCCTCTTGGTCCCACTACTGTCCCAAGCGTGGTTGGTGGGGACAAGAGAAAGGGCCGTCTCAGTGGTGGCCCCCCATCTCTAGAAAGCCCTTCCAAGGGAAATAAGACAGGCCCCAACCCTCCCCTCCTTTTGTAAGAGTTTGAAGACCTGGTGGTTTCAACAAGCCTTTGAAAATGACCAGTTCTAACTCAGCCTCACACATTGTCTAATACGGCCTTATTCTTCCTACCAGTTACCCAGATTCTTTCCTCTAATCGGCCCCGGAATGAACAGCCACAGACCCATACCTAATATTATTGTCGCCTGCCATAGCATTGCACTTAATTCCTAGGCCTCCTAGAATTTTTGGGCTTGCACAAATCTTGGCTCGGCCTTTAAAAAATTTTAAGTGCCTTGAAAAGGCAGGATTACTTTTAATATATGTGTGTTATGGCGACAATTTTTATGCTTATATTTTGTTGGTTAATTTTATGGTTATGTTGTTTTTACTCTGTATGTTTTGTTTTGTATGTTTTGTTACAGGGAGATGGAGCCATATATAAATAAAGAATTATTATTATTATTATTATTATTATTATTATTATTATTATTTATTCTGTGATCATATAGGATGTCGGGATGAGTGATGCTGCAATGACATCTTTTCTTGGCTCTTGCTCGGATCTTCTTCAAACTCTCATGGAGGTAAATTCATGTCCTTCTCTCAATTCACACCTCACATTGTTTTAATGGATTAATAATGCTTTCTATGTTTAGGTAATGTAAAACTATATGTTTGCAACAAAAATAAAATGTATTGCTTTATACAGCCTATGAACCTAATGTCTTTCTAGTTATAAGGACCCTTGAAACAGCATTTTTGAAAGTAAGGGGTAACAATAACATAAGCATTTTCATCTAAATGGAGCTTTGAATTGATCTTTAATGCTTTTATTTTATCACCCTTAATAGTTTTGCATGACACTTCTTGGGTTTCTTTTGCATTTTTTGTATTAACAATCCTCTGGATGTGACACATTTATAATTCAATTGTTGTTTCAAATATGCTGCTGCTTCTCCCTGCTTTCCTGCAACAGGCTGATGTCCGGAGTGATGAGATGCAGCCTCCTGTGCTGGACACAGAAGACGCCTGGGTGTCTGTGGAAGGACAGATCTCCCTGGTGGAACTGGCCCTTGAGCAGAAACACATCCATTACCCCCTTGTCCAACATCAATCTGTGCTCTGCACTCTCTTGTATGCAATCATGAAGTTTTCCCTGAAGAGTGTGAAGCCTCTCTCTCTTTTTGACAGCAAGGTATGTCTGCCTAAGAGTGGCTGGGAAATCTTGCTACCACTGAGAACAACTGTTTAGAGGTCACTGTGAAATGTATATAGGGCAGAGCTGGCCATTTGTAAGACTACATTTCAAATCCATCCATCCTTGGGTGGAGTTTGCATTTCCTCATTTCTGCCTCTTGAAAGCATGTGTTGGAAACAGTACTACCATATATACTCGAAGATCAACAGAGTATTTCAGCCCCTTTTTTGAGCTAAAAAAACCTCCCCTGTCTTATGATCGGATCAAGCTGGGCAGTGGAGCCTGGAGGCCATTGCTTGCAATATATGTTTCTCTCTCCTCTTCGCCTCCCTTAACAGTGTGTTTTCTTTTCCAGTCCAAAGGGAGAGAAGGAGGGAAAGGAGATATATTTCATGTCCTCCTTGTTTGTATGGCATTCTTTGAAACCCACCCAATTTTCTGGCTTTTTTGGGGGTGTATCTAAATGTATTCACCTTATATGTACATTTTGTTCCCTTGGAAGTTTTCCCCTCCTATGTTTGCAGGTCTGTACCTGTATATCTGTATCTATATTATACATTTTTATATGAATTTTCCCCTCACATGTTTGTAAGTTTCTGCAAACCCTATATAGATATCGAGAAATATATAGAGGTACTTATATATCTGTGTGTGTCCGCGTGTGCATGTGTATCTATATGTGTTATATATGAATTTTCCCCTCATGTTTGCAAGTCTTTGCAAATCCTATATAGATATAATTATCTATATATAGAGAGATGTCAAGTTAGATATATATGAATATAGATATATAGGGCTTGCAAAAATTGCAAGAGGGAAATGCACATATAGAGAGGATTTGCAAACATTTCAGGGGGGAATGCATATGTAAAATTAGTATATATCATTATAGATCTATATCTAGCTCTGCATTTATATAGGCATTGAATGTTTACCTGTTACTATGTTGGAAGCCAGAGTGAGTCCCCAAGGGGAGACAGGGAGAGATACAAATGTAGTTCTATTTATTATTATTATTATTATTATTATTATTATTATTATTATGTTATTGTTGATTCCATATTGTTTTTACTGAACCTACTTTTATACTTACAGAGCTAGTTTACTGTTTTTCTTTGAAATACAGTAAATATTCAAAAAGATTTAACCTACTGATGCCTCAATTAATGTAATGTTAATGGTATCTATTTTTATTTTGAAATTTACCAGTAGCTGCTGCATTTCCCACCCTCAGCTTATACTCGAGTCAATACGTTTTCGCAGGGTTTTTTCTTTTTGGGCTAAAATTATGTATCTCGGCTTATATTTGGGTCGGCTTATACTCAATTATATATGAGATTTGTTTTCTTCACCTTGCCCCAGTCCTTAAAAAAACATTGTTGTTTTTCCTTCATGCAGGGAAAAAACGCCTTTTTCAAAGATCTCACTTCTATTCAGTTACTGCCCAGTGGTGATGTAGATCCTGCTCTGCTATCTATACGGCATCAAGTAAGTTAGGTGCTTGGGTAGAGGGAATCAATAACACTAAAGTTAAAATGCTTCTGATGTGGCTTTCTTGTTTGTCCATCCCTCCCAGTTCTTAACCAAACTAGTGAGTGCAGTGGCACAAGCCCACTCTTCGTCCCAGAAAGCAAAGGACAGCCCAGAAGGATCAATTGCTGTGTCAGTGAAGGACAGAGATTGGCCAACCCTAGCTTTGGATTTGGCTCAGCACCTTCAGGTCACTGAGGATGTGATCAGAAGGCACTATGTGTGTGAACTCTACAATTATGGCCTAGATCATCTTGGAGAAGAGGTAAAAGTTTAGCATGTTGCAATGAAATTATTTCCCCCTCTGATGGAAGATGTCTCCAAATATAAGTCAGGCTGTACATACAGTGGTTCGCAAGCACCCAAAATAGCCAATAGTGTCCCGTCCACTCGTCACCCCCCCCCCCCCCCCCCCCCCCGACCCTAAAGAGGCAGCAATTTTGTCTTGCTTTTCCCTGCAACTGATTTTTTTAACCCAAGAAGACTTTCTTTAAATTATCTTTCAGAGGAAGGCCAAATACAAAGTGTAGGTTTTGACCTTAAAAGCTTAAGATGTGGCTATGGAACCAAGCATTCTATCAGTAAATAGTGCAATAAGGCTGACAGAATAATGAAATTGACAATTGGACAGGCCTTGGACTATGATCTGAATTACGTGATTTTAACTGATGTTTTAATAATAAATGTTTAATTGTATGATTTTAATTTTGTTTATTTTTATATTTATATGTATTGCCATCAAATTGCTACCTGCTGTAAGGTTGCCCTGAGTTCCCTTTTAGAGTGAGAAGGGTGGGATACAAATATGTGAAAGAAATAAAATAAAATGCATGGTTTGGGTCCAGGTTACCTACAGGACCTGCACAATCCATACCTCAGGACACTGAGGTCTTCTGGGGGGCATTTACTCCAAACAGCCAGAACCTAATTGGAAACTCTCACCCAGAGGACCTTTTCATGCCCCAAGTCTCTGGAATGGCCTGCTGGAAGAGATCTGACAGCTAAATGAGCTGTCAAAATTGAAGATGCAACTGAAGACTCATCTCTTCTGGCAGGCCTACCCAGACAATTTCAACTTGTGAACTTTAATCTGCATTTTATCAGTGAATTTAAACTCCCAAGTATCATGTTGTACACTTTTTAAATAGTGTCTCATTTCTTGTTTTAACAATGTTGTACTCTGCCTCAAGCCACAAGGAGAGGTGGGTAATAATGTATTATTATTATTAATAATAATCCAATAATTTCTTTTAAATATAAACATGTGAATGAATGGTTTGGATCACAGCTAATATTGCAAACATGTCTTTTAATATGCAGGCTATTCTGCAAGTCCATGACAAAGAAGTCCTTGCATCTCAGCTGTTGGTGCTGACGGGACAGAGGCTGGCCTATGCATTGTTGCACACTCAGACTAAGGAAGGCATGGAGCTGCTGGCCAGGCTCCCTCCAACACTCTGCACTTGGCTTAAGGCTATGGTATGTTGCTTTGACTGAGAATGGATCTTCTTCAATAAAGAGCATAGTTAGGAATAACTTCCCAAAGTTCTCATCTAATGCTTTCAGAGATATTGCATACACAAAACATATTACAAATGTTCAAAATGTCTAGAAAAAACATTTTATTCTATATAGTGAATTTTTATCTATTTAGCAAATTGAGAATTTTATTTTATATAGCGAATTAACATGATTGACAAATGGACAGGCCTTGGACTACAATTTGAATTTGCATGATTTTAACTGTTGTTTTAATAATTGATGTTTTTAATTGTTTGGATTTTAATTGTATTTGTTTATTTTCGGATTTGTTTGTGTTGGCATTGAATTGCTGCCTGTTGTAAGGCTGCCCTGAGTCCCCTTTGGGGTGAGAAGGGTGGGGTACAAATGTAGAAAATAAGTAAGTAAATAAATATTTCTGAAATAAAAACTCAGCTGTTAACTACACACAAAGCAGTGCCAGCTCTATATGAGAGTTATAAAGGGATCAAAATTACCAGTTCAAATTCCTTTAGTATAAAATACAAGTTAATTTTTAGCCAAAGTCCTACTATGTGGCATGGAATCTGGACTCTTGAGGTACATATCTTGTTTCTAATGTTTAATAAAAACGTTATTATACATCATCTTTTGTCATGTTGGTTGGGATTGCTGAGAGTTGCAATCCAACAACATTTGGAGCAGCACACAATTTTTGTCAATGCTTTAAATAAAGCTAACCAAAGTCTCATTGATCTCGGGAGATCTGTTTAACATAGATCAAACATTAGTCCACATCCTGTATTCTAGTGTTGCCTAGAAAAAATTGCCCATGCCATTTGAAAGAACATATCTCACTTTACAAGCCCACTAGAGCTCTTAAGATCTTCTGGATCGGCCTCCCCTCTATCCCACCACCTTCTCAGTCTCGTTTGGTGACAACAAGAGAGAGGACATTTTTGGTGGCTTCCCCAGACTTTGGCAGTCATTCCTTAGAAAGGCCAGGAGGGCTCCATCCTTTATCTTCTTCCATTATTAACTTCTGTCCTTATACATCAGACTTTTAGTATTGTGTGGTTTGGTTTTTAGGATTTGCATATAGTTTTTTAAAAGTTTAATGTTTTTAATTTTGATTTTTGAATGTTATATTAATGTACTTTATATAGATTTTAATTGGCATTGTTTTTAAACAGGTTGTTAGCCATCTTTGGATTCATTATTGTGAGAAAGATGGGATATAAGTGAACAATGGAAAAAATAACCTGAAAATGGCTTCTCTTTTTATTGCAGGACCCCCAGGATCTTCAAAATGTAGACGTGCCAATTTCCACAACAGCAAAGCTAGTGGATAAAGTGATAGAACACTTGCCAGAGAACCACGGCCAGTACAGTGTTGCCTTGAATCTGATTGAGGCAGTGGATGCAATGTCATGATGGCAACATTACCATTTCTGCTAATAGCTTCAAATAGATATCCAGTATAATTTAAGTGCATGGCTCTTGTCACAGACTGAAGCAGAACAATCCTGAGAAAACCAATTTCACATGACTTTTGTAAACGAATTAACACCAGGATTTTAGAAGATGGTATCAAAATGAAATCCAACCTTACTGTGGTGGGTAATACCAGCAATCTGTCATCTCTGTACATTTGTGTATAACCCTAAATATTTATTTCTAACTTCAAGCACTTGTGCAGTAGTCTAGGTTTTAAGAACAGTGTTGATGCTGTTTAAATTAACATGTTAGTTTTCATGTGATAATAGGAATTTCTGCTTTTTAAATGTTAATGATGGAAATTTAATCAGATCATGAGAAAGCAGAAGTCCTACATATTATATATGCTGCTTAAGTGAGGTATCCAGTTTTCAGACTAATAGCTTGGTTGCTTTTAGTAAAGGAGCATACAGCACCGTGAAAGGAAGAATCAATCCAGAAACAAGATAATCCTTCTCAGAAATAAAATCAGGAATCTCATTTAATTTCAAAATACTAGTTTTTTAGTACATTTCCCACTGTTGTACAGCCTGTTGTAAAAACATTGTAAATTGTGTGCACTACTAGATCCTTTTTGTTGAGGTTTCTGCTTCTCATACATAGCTGTCCAAATTACAAAGTATTAAAATTAAACTTGGTATTCTTCTGTGGCATATTTAATCTTCTATAGTAGAAGCTGATTCTAGTTAGCTGTATTCAAAGTTATAACTTCCAAATAGACCAAATCTTAATGGAATCATAGAGTAACAATGTACTGCAAATGAGAAAAAAAATTGAAAGAAGAGTTCTGTTCTTTGTTGCCTCAGAAGGCAATATTAGACCGTAAACCAGTTCTACCATAGATTCTGGATAAGAAGGAATTTTAAAAAATGATATATGTATTATATCATTCTGATAATGGCAACCAAACTGATTGATAACTGGCAAATAGAGGGAGAAAACGTGGAGGCCGTGACAGACTTTGTATTTCTAGGTGCAAAGATTACTGCAGACACAGACTGCAGCCAGGAAATCAAAATATGTTTACTTCTTGGGAGGAGAGCAATGACCAATCTCAATAAAATAGTAAAGAGTAGAGACATCACACTGGCAACGAAGGTCCACATAGTTAAAGCAATGGTATTCCACGTAGTAACCCTATGGATGCAGGAGCTGGACCATAAGGAAGGCGGAGCGAAGGAAGATAGATGCTTTTGAACAGTTGTGCTGGAGGAAAATTCTGAGAGTGCCTTGGACCACAAGAAGAACAAACCAGTCCATCCTCCAGGAAATAAAGCCCAACTGCTCACCGGAGGGAAGGATATTAGAGGGAAAAAGAAGGGGGACCGACCAAGGGCAAGATGGATGGATGTTATCCTTGAAGTGACTGGCTTGACCTTGAAGGACCTTGGGGTGGCAACAGCCAAACAGGAAGCTCTGGCGTGGGCTGGTCCATGAGGTCACCAAGGGTCAGTAGTGACTGAACAAATAAACATATTTTGCCAGTTGAATTGGATGAAAGGGTTCTTTTTCACAGAAGCTGCTTAAATAGAGACCCCTCTATTGCCAAGGATGCTGTAGCAGGTGCCTTATCTGGCTTCTTGCAAATTGTATTAGAATATCCACAAACATTTGTCAGGTAGTTTTGTTGTGCGGCAAGAGAAAACACAGGAGCCATTCTTTAAGTGTTGGGAGAAACAGATTTTTTAAAAATCACATGGAATTAGTGCAGTTGTACCTCCATTAACAAAGCAAATTTATTCCTGGGTATTATGTATTTAACAGAAAATTTGGTACTAGAGACAGAAAGAGCATAAAGTAGTGTCAGGTTCCGAGAGCAGTTGAACATGTTTCAACTTATTGTACAGTTTACTGCAGACATATTGCTACCAGCCACTGAAAAGGCTCTGTTTCTTCTGCTTATTCTCTGAATGCTAGTGCAGATCCATTTTCTCTCTGAGGTATTTCTTCTAATATGGAAAATAATTTCCAAATATTGATGAAATGTAATGGTAAGAGACTGAGAGAGCCAAGAAGCACTTTATTAAGTATACAAGCCAATATATATACAGGATCCAATTTCAAACTTCTCTCCAGCTCACCTCCCGTCTTCAAATAAACTCTGTTTTCTCCATACATACTTTCATGTTTTCCAGAAAAAATGAGTCTAGTTACTTCCCTAATTGCATGGCGGCCATTTCAAAAGTGCATCATTTCCCATTGAGTACTTCCCTACAACGCGCACAGGGTGTGTCTGTGGAATCTGCTGTGTACCTTCGGCAGCGGAGGCATTTTAATTTGGCAGCTGGTAGAACTATGACTTTATAGGTGGACTCTTCTCGGATATCACCACCTATTTAAAAAAAAAGATTCAGAAGGGACAAATGATTTGACTTGTAGGAGACCATACTTGGTAGCCCACCCTCGAAACACAAGACGTTTCTTGATATGGCCTAGTCACTGGTTCACCTAAAATACTTCCATCACGTCTTGGATATTTTTGGAATGAAGTATTTCCTTCTACACTTACCTTCTAAGTTTATCAAAAATGTTCCTTGAATCATATCATCAGTTGCCATCTCGCGAGGCACTTCAGCCAGCAGCGTTGTCTGTGATGCCATCATTATTTCATTTAGCTGGGATGTACTAGAACACTCCTCATGCTGTAGCACCTGCAGATGAATTATTGCCAGAACTGAGCCATTTGAAAAATCAATAAAAAGTTTATGCAGTTTTGGGATTAAAACCTAGCCGTAGATTATGCTTTGCGTTCTCTCAGGAAGTAACTGGGTGGAAAGGAGAGAGGGAAAGAGGCAGGTGAAGAGCAATGGGGGAGGGGCTTTCCCTACCAGTTAACTCACTTGCCTATCTACTCCTTGGTGAGGACCATAAACTGGTGCAGATGTGGTTGAGTACTTGCATGGGAGACCACTATGGAATACCATATGCTGTAGGAAGTCAATGGCAACCCAGCTCTGAGTCTTCTAAGAAAATTCTATTGAGTGTCAACAGGTATCTTGAGGTGACATAAACAGAAGTGACATGCTCACGTGATTTCTTGCTTCTGAAGATCAAGGTTACTGATCAGTGTTCGTGCTAGCAATACCACTAGGCAGTACTTAAACTGTATGCCTTTTCAGCTTACCTCCATTAATTCAAAGAGCAATCCAGGCTCAATTACGAGGACCACCTGATACTCCAAAGCATTCTTCCCTGCAATGGAACCCAAGAAAGCATCCCGCATGGCACAGGCTCCTTCTACGGCTTCTTCCAAGCCTGGCTTCTTCCACACAGGGCTTGTGTTCATCCATCCAGAACGAAACACACTATCTGACTCTTGAAAGGAAAAGTATGATGCGCTTGTGAGAGTTTTGTAGGATAGATAGTAAAACAGTGCTCTATACTGAGAAATATTACATAGCTATCAATTTAACAATATAGTCACTGGCAGATCCTTAAAAAGTATTTTAGTTCCAGGTTGACAATAGACAAGATGCTGTATGGGCTCTCAATTTTATTTCAGTATGGATTTAAGGTCTTCAGCATTCCAGAGTCATGGAATATAGATTTATAGCTTGTCATCTAAATATAACTACCTCCCCTTGCTCACTATCCTGTTGTCTGAAAATGAAATATCTCAGAACATATGTGTTTGCCAAGACTGGAAAATAGGGTGAGCCTTTGCTTTACAGAACTGAAATGCACCTTGCTCCCATCTTTGGTAGCACATTAAGCACTATTCTTGGAGGTCCACATTACAGTGAGAGCAAAAACTGCCTTAAAGTAAACACTTTGCTGTTAGCTAGCAAATAAATACTTGGGACTCCAGATTATTATCATTCAAGGGACTAATTTTTTGACTATGCCCTGATCTACTTGACAGATCCTCCTTGCTTAATCCATATGTGGACAGTCTTTCTGAAAAGTAACACTTCCAAAAATCCTCACACATAATACAAACTTTTTAATGGGTTGTAAAAGTCCAATTCTGTCAAAAGTTTCACAAACTCTTACCTTTCCTATAAGGAAGATATTGAAACACCTCTTCAGCTAGATGTGGAAGGATTGGTGCAAAAGAACGAACCATGGTGTCCAAAACTGCTGCTAAAGCTGTTTGACATGAACGGCGTTTTGGATCTTTTTCTTCTTCACAATAAAGTCTGAATTGAAGGCAGGAAATATATTACAAACAGATGGTGGATCCAATGGGTCCTCAAACAGACTGGAAATTCCCTGCACAACAGGTCATGCCTGTAGGTTGCACTCTTTTAGGCCAAGGATAGGCCTACTTTTCCAAACAGGAAATCATTTCAAAATGTTTTTTTTTTTTGTTAACATGACTTTTTTCCAACAAGAAAATACCAAGAAGTTGAAAACATTGCCTGTCCTAGGCCTAAAACAGCGCATAGAGAGGCACAAAACAAAACAAAGCATGATGTCCCCTAAGAAGGACCAGGGGAAGGGGGCATTTGAAGCAAATATTTTTATGATCTGGGAGTCACCAAACAACTATCTAGAGTGAGCCATATTGATTATACTAAATTAAAAGTCAAACAGCTCTAGAATAGAAGGCTTGCAGCAATCGGGCGACTTCCAGGACTCGAGTTGTACCTTCCTCCTCCCTGACAAGAGGATCAAACATGTTGAATGGGGAGAATGGCGTTAGGTAAAGCAAGCTCTTGTACATACCTGTCTTTGACTATACTAAAGTAAAAACTAGACAGCTCTCTCGTATGGAAGGCTTCCAGTAATCGGATAACTTTTCCATAGTCGTACTCCTTATATGCCTGAGTAACCTAAGGAATAAAACCACAAATACAACGTAATAAGAAGTCAGAGAAAGCACAGAAGCCAGGTGAGACTGTGAAGTCATTACCCAGTATCAGATTGCCTAATGCAGCCTAATTACCTGACAAATAGCCATTTGTACACAATGGTACGGCTAGTACCTGAGCTAAATCATAGTCAGAGGAAAGGTTTAGAACAGGCCTACACAGCCTATGACTCTCCAGGTGTTTTGAACTTCAGCTCCCAGAAGTCCTGACCATTGGAGAAGCTGTCTAGGGCTTCTAGGAGTTGGAAGTCCCTGGTTTAGAACACGGCCGATTTATACCTTTGATGTTTTCCTGTTCCTTCTTCCTTCTCTATTAGTCACATGATGAAACGTCAACACATCACTATGGTGTGGGGTCCTATAGCAAGCATGAAAAGCAGGCAGCCTCATAGAAATAATAATATCAAGTGAGTGCAGATTGTCTGGGAAGTTGCCTGGTAAAGCTTTTACCTCTAAAGCAAAGGGAACAAGAATAGTGATTGTTTGACAGCTGACTGATGGATGGTGAGGATTGTTTCAGCAAATTCTCTTAGGCCATTTAGCAAACAGGATTAAACCCTGCTCCCTAGAGGCCACCTTTCCCATCTGGGAAAGGTGATGGACCCATGGTCCACATGTTTAAATCATATAGTCTGAGGCCTCTTCCATATAGCTGAATAAAATCCCACATTTTCTGCTTTGAACTGGAATATATGGTGGTGTGGATTCAGATAACCCAGTTCAAAGCAGATATTGTGGGATTTTCTGCCTTGATATTCTGGGTTATGTGGTTGTGTGGAAGGGCCCTTAGTCTCTGTCTCTCAGGTAATGCAGCTAAAGCTTTGGCAGATGTTGAGGTCTGAGGTGAGTGCTTACTACAGATTGTGATCACAAAGCAAGCCAATAGATTCTTCCATCATTTTTTACTTTTTCACCAACTTTTTTGAGAAGCTATTTCCCCCAACAGCAAAATCTGTATTTTCTATCTTCTGATTTGTTCAACCCTCCTGGCTTTTACCAATCATTTCAATTCCCTGAGCAGTTCCTTGACACACTGTTTCCAGCTTCTCCCAACTCCTATTGCTTACCTTGGTTGCATAGCCGTGCAGCAAGTGGAGTATATACTGGTCAATTAAATACATATCTGAGGTGGGGATTGAGTCTGTTTCTGGACTGAAGCTTGCAAGATTGCCCAACAAAAACCGGAGTGTGTTCCGAAGCTGTCAAAAAACCCAGGAAGTGACACATTTTAAAATCAAAACCACAGTACAAAAACCCACTAAATGACACAGGAATTATCATTAAATGTTTTTTCTCTAGCACAACCAAAAACATTTGTTCTTTTCTAATGTTCTGAGAAGGTATGAAGGACTTCTGGGGCTCCTGTCAAGTCAACACATACAATTTGTTTTGAGACTAGGGGCCTGAAGAAGAGAAGGCTGAGAGGAGATATGATAGCCATGTATAAATATGTGAGAGGAAGCCTACAGGGAGGAGGGAGCAAGCTTGTTTTCTGCTTCCTTGGAGACTAGGACGCGGAACAATGGCTTCAAACTACAAGAGAGGAGATTCCATCTGAACACGAGGAAGAACTTCCTAACTGTGAGAGCCATTCAGCAGTGGAACTCTCTGCCCCAGAGTGTGGTGGAGGCTCCTTCTTTGGAAGCTTTTAAACAGAGGCTGGATGGCCATCTGTCAGGGGTGATTTGAATGAAAAATTCCTGCTTCTTGGCAGGGGGTTGGACTGGATCGTCCATGAGGTCTCTTCCAACTCTTTGATTCTATGATTCTAAGAAGAAAGGGAACAATCTGCATCACTCCGAAAATCCCTAAGCCAAATGTAATTTGTGATCATATAAATCAGGTTTTCTTGCAATGTGCCTTCAAGTAAAATCTGACTTATGCTGCCCCTGTTGTGTGTTTTTCTTGGCAACATTTATTCCAAGGAGTTTTGTCATTGCCTTCCTCCAAAGCTGAAAGACTTGCCCAAAGTCATCCAGTGGGTTTTCTATGACTGAGTGGAGATCCGAACTTTGGTCTCTCAAGAGTCCAACATTCAAAATACAACACCACATGGGCTTCTTGCTATCAAGCTGATGCTATGACATTTCCAAACATTATGCTATATTGCTGTGATACACTCAGGAAGGTACCACAAACAAGACGGCTGCATCATTTAAATCAGCACCTAAAAGACATTATGACAAAATATTTATTTATTTATTTAGAACTTTTATATACTGGTCTTCTCGACCTCCGCAGAGGGACTCCATCCGGTTCACAATACACGGATGGCAGATGTCAACATCTAGATCAGCGTTTCTCAATCTGGGGGTCGGGACCCCTGTGGGGGCCATGGGGGGTAGGGTGTCAGAGGGGTCGCCAAAGACCATCTTAAAACACAGTGTTTTCTGTTAGTCATGGGGGTTCTGTGTGGGAAGTTTGGCCCAATTTTAACTTTGGTGGGGTTCAGAATGCCCTTTGATTATAAGTGAACTATAAATCCCAGCAACTACAACTCCCAAATGTCAAGGTCTATTTTCCCCAAACTCCGCCAGTATTCACATTTGAGTATATTGAGTATGAATGCCAAGTTTGGTCCAGATCCATAATTGAGACCACAGTGCTCTCTGGCTGTCGGTGAACTACAACTCTACAACTCAAGGTCAGTGCCCACCAAACCCCTTCCATCGTTGGTGGAGTTCAGAATGCTCTTTGATTGTAGGTGAACTACAAATCCCAGCAACTACAACTCCCAAATGACAAAACCAATCCCCACACAAACCCACCAGTATTCAAATTTGGGCGTATTTGGTATTTGTGCCAAATTTGGTCTAGTGAATGAAAATATATTCTGCATATCAGATATTTACATTATGATTCATTGCAGCAGCACAATTACAGTTATGAAGTAGCAATGAAAATAATGAAGCTGCATCAGATGAACAAAGCACTGAGTAACCACAGGGAAATCTGCCATAGCAAACTCTGTATGACAGGATTGCAGTGATGGCTCCTTGAAAGGAAAATGTTAATTAAATCCAAACTTCAAAAGCAATTTTGAACATTGTTTCTTTTTAAAAGAAGCCCTCAAAAACTGTAAGAAAAGACCCTTCGTATTGTGGAGGATGGATGGGTCAGCTTCCTACCTTGTTGATGTCGTCCCGTGCAGAGTTGAGCACAGCTGGTCCGATCAACACTTCCGTGTAGATATTTGACTCTGCCACCCACCAGCGCAGAATATCGGCTCCGTAGGGAGGGTCAATGCTGTGGTCCTGGACATGGACAAGATGGGAGTGAGATTCTTTTTATGTAAAAAAGACTGACCAGTGTTAGATACAAAAACATATTGAAAAATGTACTAAAACTCTTGTTTTCCTGCTCGGATGGAAGATTTTTCAAATTCTGTATTGCATGCAAGGACAAAAATAAACAAATATTCAAATCCCCCTAGCCAAAAGAAATATTCAAATCTTTTGCTACGTTACACTGACTCATTCCTGCCACCTGCTGCTGGGCTGGACTATAAACAGTTGACAGAATTATTAAGCAGAGTAGACAAAAAAAGAATGAGAACATGAATGATGTTCCTCTGAAGCTTAGGAGAATCATCTTCCATCTCCTCCACCAGCACTGTGCTTCTAGACCAGTGTTTCTCAGCTTGGGGGTCGGGACCGGGATTTCAGAGGGGTCGCCAAAAACCATCCGAATGCATGTATTTCTGATGGTCTTAGGAACCCCTTTGGCAGAGAAGGCTGAAGATCTCTCCGCCTACCCTTCTCTTCCTTTTTGGAAACAGACAGTGAGTTCTCCCACTAAAAGCCTGCTGTGATTGGCTGGCCTCTCAGTTGGCCTCTCAGCCAAGGGGAGGGTTGTTTCTGAGGCTCCAAGAAGGGAGGGGACAGCAGGTGTGCTCTTCCCTAAATCACTGTAAATTCCTCCAAAATCCCTCCAGTATTTTCTTAGTTGATCCCCCAAGTCTTATATTAGGATGGGTCAGAGTTTGGAAGTAGCATGTTACAATAATAATGCTAACCTGCAAGTGAATACTTTTTGTGTTAATGAGGCCATAGGAATGAATGTTCCTTTAATAAAATAATGCCATGGTCACCCTGATATTAACAAGAGGGGAACAAATATATTTTACACATTTCTTGTTTTGAGGAGAAAGGGGAACATAGACACTTAGGAAAGAGGCGATGAGGACTGGGTTGTGGAAAGGAACGGGTAGTGGCGCAGCTAGCTGGGAGCAAGTTGCATTAAAATCACTACTGACTGAGAAATCATGAGTTTGAAGCCAGCCCAGGTCAGAGCGAGCTTCCGCCCATTAGTCTTGCTTGCTGCCGACCTATGCAGCCCAAAAGACAGTTACATCTGTCAAACAGGAAATTTAGGTACCGCTTTAAATTAGCCTCTACAGTGCTGGTGGAGGCTTTTATTTATTTTATTTTTATTTTGTCGTGTCAGAGCAACCAATCCATTATATTACATTTCTAACAGAACAAAGCAAACAAACAGACAAAATACAAAACTTGTAAGTTTGGTAGTTGGTTAAATGTCCTTTGACCAGTATCTGGCCACTTGGAGTGCTTCCGGTGTTGCTGCAAGAAGGTCCTCCATCGTGCATGTGGCAGGGCTCAGGTTGAATTGCAGCAGGTGGTCAGTGGTTTGCTCTTTTCCACACTCGCATGTTGTGGACCCCACTTTGTAGCCCCATTTCTTGAAGTTGGCTCTGCATCTCGTGGTGCTAGAGCACAGTCTGTTAAGTGCCTTCCAGTCCTTTGTGTGCCTAGGAGGGGAGTCTCTCATTTGGTATCAGCCATTGGTTGAGGTTCTGGGTTTGAGCCTGCCACTTTTGGACTCTCGCTTGCTGAGGTGTTCCAGCGAGTGTCTCTGTAGATCTTAGAAAACTATTTCTAGATTTAAGTCGTTGACGTGCTGGCTGATACCCAAACAGGGGATGAGCTGGAGATGTCTCTGCCTTGGTCCTTTCACTATTGGCTGCTACTTCCTGGCGGATGTCAGGTGGTGCAATGCCAGCTAAGCAGTGTAATTTCTTCAGTGGTGTAGGGCGCAGACACCCTGTGATAATGCGGCATGTCTCATTAAGAGCCACATCCACTGTTTTAGTGTGGTGAGATGTGTTCCACACTGGGCATGCATACTCAGCAGCAGAGTAGCACAGCGCAAGGGCAGATGTCTTCACTGTATCTGGTTGTGATCCCCAGGTTGTGCCAGTCAGCTTTCGTATGATATTGTTTCTGGCGCCCACTTTTTGCTTGATGTTCAGGCAGTGCTTCTTGTAGGTAAGAGCACAGTCCAGAGTGACTCCCAGGTATTTGGGTGCGCTGCAATGCTCCAGTGGGATTCCTTCCCAGGTGATCTTCAGAGCTCGGGATGCTTCTCTGTTCTTGAGATGAAAGGCACATGTCTGTGTTTTAGATGGGTTAGGGATCAGCTGGTTTTCCCTGTAATAGGCAGTAAGAGCACCTAGAGCTTCGGAGAGCTTCTGTTCTACCGTCTCAAAGCTCCCTGCTTGAGCAGTAATGGCACGATCATCAGCATAGATGAAACTCTCTGTCCCTTCTGGCAGTGGCTGGTCATTTGTGTAGATGTTGAACATGGATGGAGCAAGCACGCTCCCTTGAGGCAGACCATTCTTCTGTTTCCGCCATCTGCTTCTCTAGCCCTGGAACTCAACTAAAAAGCTCCTGTTTTGTAGCAGGTTTCCTATGAGGCGGGTGAGGTGGAGGCTAATTTAATTAATTTATGATGGCATAAAACCTTCCAGCAGCATGCAAAAGAATGAGGAAGTACTCAATCAAAGGACTTGGTGTCACAAATGGATGGTGAAGTGGCAGCTCCCCCTGTGGCTGGAATCGAGCCAGAATTCAGCATACTCTCATGAAGCCGGAAAAAGCTGGAATGTTAAACTGCCTCTGTGTCTGTCTATGTACATCATATGTCAAATTGGCATTGAACGTTTGCCATGTATATGTGCATTGTAATTCACCCTGAGTCCCCTGTGGTGTGAGAAGGGCGGAATATAAATACTGTAAATAAATAAATAAATTCTCCATACAAGGTGGCAAGGTATGTGAAAATAGTCACACTTTTTCACTTTTAAACAAGCATCCTGTCCCTTGAGAGATGCTGGCTGTGTAATAAATACTACTGCAATATCTCTGATTTCACCCCATCCAATCGTCCCACTCCAATATCATGGAAGGCATCAAACAAGGAGGAGCAGGGCCCTTATTTGAAGGTTCAAAATGCAGATCAGCCTCCCATCAGTCTTCATCAGAAATGTGGAATTTTCAGTTAATATCAAACGCTGTGTGAACTGGAGAAACTGGTTTTGGCTATATGCGACCTACAGATTTTCCAGAGACATTTCTTCCTTTATGTTTGATATGTCATCAACACTAGAATATTTCCATTTGTCTTCTATTCAGGCTATTTGTCCTGGAACTATCTTAGCCTTTCCAGAAATCTTCCTGATTATTCCTGAGGGATTGGATTTAATGCAAAGTGGATTCTTCTAAAGAGGAAACAATTGTACCCAGTTGCTAGTCTTGTGTATTTATATGGGATCACAATCCGTTTCTGTTTGTTTCATTCGTAACGCACTGTTCAAACGCCTCTCCAGAAAACAGGTGCCTTTCTGAATGAACTTTTTTGTCCAAGGTCCGAAAAAGCAAATAATTTCAGCCCATTGGTGGCAATGGGCAGGCCTCCCACACTCCCCTTCCTCTCAGTTTTAGGGCTAGTGCTTGGCACTTGGCTGCAGGCCCTGGCAGGTGCTGGCACTTTGGGCCTGCTCGCCACACAAACACTCTCCTTGAAAAGAGGGTGTGTGTGTGGTGAACAGGCCCAAAGCGCCCATGCCTGCCAAGGGCTTACAGCTGAGCACTGAAAATCAGCCGAACGAATGGTTTCCTTTCCCACTTTCCTTTTGCTTCACTGATATTTCCGTACCAGAGGGAAGTGTACCGTTTCGTGCCTTCCAAATGAATGAAACGATATGAAAACACAAATTAAACGGATGAATCTGTAACCTAGCTCATGGCTACCAGGTGCTTCAAAGACTTCTAATTGCTTCTCAAATACCAGTGAACTAGAGGGTGTGCTTTCAGATTTGAGAATATAATAACACAAGTAACTACTTACATTGCCTCCGTTGATTACTACATCGGGGTCCACCACATTGCCAATTGATTTAGACATCTTTTCTCCTTTTTCACCCAGAGTGAATCCGTGAACCACAAGGGCCCTAAAATAAAAACCATCTGATAAGTATACTTTTCCCTTTGGCAATTAAGAACATATCTTCAAGTATATGTTTACTGATATAGTTGCCCAAATGAGCTGGTTCCCATTAAATCAAGTGTTGGAATGCTTAACTTACTTGTATGGTGCTTTCTTTCGTACTGCCACACTAGTCAGGAGAGATGACTGAAACCAGCCTCCCAGCTGGTCTTTCCCTTCCAAGTATAAATCTGCCGTTATACCTGCATCTAAAAGAACAGAGAAAATAGTACTCTAAAGCAGGATCTAAACTGCTCCGGCTTTTCTTGAGTACTGAATTACATATATATGTCGATCTCAAGGAGCCCACAGTGGTGCAATGGATTAAACCCTTGTGCTGGCAGGACTTCTGACTGAAAGGTCGGTGGTTCATATTCGGGGAGCAGGGTGAGCTCCTGTCTGTCAGCTCCAGCTTCCCATGCGGGGACACGGGAGAAGCCTCTCACATGATAGTAAAACATCTGGGCATCCCCTGGGCAACGTTATTGCAGATGGCCAATTCACACCAGAAAAAAGCCTCAAGTATTAGTCAAGGGCAGGTTTTAGGCCAAAATTATGGATTTTAATGTGACCTATAGATAAGTTGAGGGTCATTCCTAGGAGGCACACTGCCATCTCATTCCTGGCCGTTTTCCTGCTCAAGCACTCACAAAACGCCAGAAGCAGTACTGTGGTGGAGAAGGTAGAGGGGGTTTATTGCTTCTTTTAGTCCCAGGACAGACTAAACTCTTGCCTTTCTCCTTTCTACTCAGGAGAAGGGGATGGTTCTTTTCTTGATAAAAATTAAAGTACACTATTGGCCTATGGAGAAGTCAACCCAGGTTTCTGAGATTCGTTTTTTGATAAACATTTCTAGACTTACATATGAGTATATTTTAAAAATCCTTTTTGAGACAAATATGCAGCAGTATATACGAAGCCTGTTTACTAAAATAATTATCTGAATAATCGCCATAAGTAAAATACCAAGTGCTGTAAAGTTGAACAACTTGAAAATATTTTAAAAGTATGAAGCATTTAATTTTTGGCCTCTAGTAAATGGGAACAAACACAGTTGTTCCCATTTATACTTGCAAGATTCAGTTCACACGATTTCTGTGCCTTCAATAGCAATAGAGGAGGCACATCATTCAAGTCCTACACAAAGAAATGTTCTACCTACTGAAATCCCATTCACTCAAATTAATAAATCCTTTGTCCCACATTAAAAATGCCAACTATACTTCTAATGAAATTGGGATGCAGCACTTCCCCCACTCCACAAATTCTGATTTATTTATTGGTGGCAATTTCCAATTTCTCAACATGACTATCTAGTCGCCCTTCCTCATTTCTGGGATCAGAAGTCTTGGATTTGATTATTTGCAGATTATTATATTTGTTGCACCCTCTATAGCTGTCCTGTACATGGCAGCAAAATATATTTTAGACAGGCATTTCTCCTGGAGGTTGATGACAGAATAATTCTAGAGGACTTAGAGAAGTGTTGTTTCAAGGCAAAAACAATAGTAATTTTAATTTATATTTGTGGTTTTCCCATTTTCATGGGAATCATGTGCCTCTAATCCTTACAAATGTGGAGAGAGTCCTACTATATTCGATTGCTCGTTTGCAATCTCATTTTTATAGCCTTTTGTGGGGATATTTTTCAGGAAATGTTGATAACAAACATGAAGTGGCCAAGGTCACATGCTTGTCTCCTGAAGCCTCCATAGGTACAAGGTCTGCACCATTCACTGGAACAGCAGGGCGTTGGCTGCTTGGGAACCCGCAGCAATCACTATATTATCCTGACAATGAAAGGCATGACTGAGCAAACCTGGTATGTCTGGCAGACCTGAATTAGAGAAATATATTCTGCAGAGCTTAGAAAAATGAACTTCAGGATGATAATTCCCCTAACAGCAGAAATTGACTATCTGGACTAGATTCAAATCTCAAACCTTCAATCTCAAATTTACAGCAGGTAAAAGATATTGGGAAAGATCTGAGAAATAACCAAGTTACAAACATCCGACTTACAAACAACTGATAGTTAAGAACAGGGGTGAAACACCAGGAAATGAGAGAAATCTACCCTTCGGAGGGAAATTCACACCTGAAAGAGTTATCATGGAAGAAAGGTGTCTCAACGGAAGCTTTCTCATCACTTTCTCATCAATCCACAACAAGCCAAATTTTTCAAAATCCAATTATCACAGGGATGTAAAGTGAACTGAACAGGGGCATAGACAGCAAAACAAACACCACAGGAGCGTTAACCCTTCTCCATGCTATCCAAAGCTATATAATAATAATAATAGTAGTAGTAGTAGTAGTAATATGGATTGTTGATGCTGCTGTCCCAGGTGAGAGCAGGATTGAAGAGAAACAACTGGAAAAGCTGACATAATATGAGGATTTAAAGATCGAACTGCAAAGACTCTGGCACAAGCCAGTCAAGGTGGTCCCAGTGGTGATCGGCACATTGGGCGCAGTGCCTAAAGATCTTGGTCTACACTTAAACATAATTGGCGCTGACAAAATTATCATCTGCCAACTGCAGAAGGCCACCTTACTGGGATCTGCACTTGGGAAGTGTCCGACGTGTGATCCAATACAACAGCCAGCAGAGTGTCTGCTGTGGACCCATCTTGTTGTGTTTCAAATAATAATAATAATAATAATAATAATAATAATAATAATAATATATTTATATTCCACCCTGTCTCCCCTGAGGGACTCAGGTCGGATTCCAATAATAAAAGGGAAATATTAAATGCCTGAATATAAAAACAATACACCCATAATAATGAAAATTGACAACCCATCATAAGCCAATTATAACTTAACAACTAAAATTAAATGAAAAACGCAACCTATTATATCAGACATGAAACAAAACATCAAACAGAAGCATCAATTTCCCAGAGCCACCGGGGTTCCTTGGGGGCAAATAAGATTGATCATTGCTCAAGGTATCTATTGAGCTAGTGAGACGTGGATATGGATAGCAGTTATTAATCAGAGGTATAATGGCAGTATTACCATCTATTCTTCTTCTTCCTCCTCCTCCTCCTCCTCCTCCTCCTCCATATATATGGCTGGCGTGATACTTAAAAATTTACCTGTTCCATCCAAATTCAACTTAAAAACATACCTACAGAACCGATCTTGTTCATACTTGAGGACTGCCTGTATTTTTAATAATTTTTTTTATCATGGGACAAAGTTTGTGTACACTGAAGTCTCAGAAAGCAATGGTGCCCCCATTTTAAGACACTCATGTGGACAGTTTTGGATTTCAGATTTCCAGATAAGGAATGCTCAACTTGTACCAGACAAGGTTTTTGAAAATAGAGAATTCCACAATGATTCAGTCCGATCTCTCAGTTATCTTGACTAAGACATTACGCACCCACAGCCTATTCTGCAATTTAGAACACTAAAAAAAAATCCCGATAGAAATATTTAATTGGGGTTATTATTTACAGTTAGAGGTCACAAGCCTTTATGATTCTTTTTCATTTTGAGTGCTTTATTCCATATCTTTGATAATCGTAGACTTTAACCCAACGATTAAACACAGTGGACTTTGCTGGCAAATACAATTATCCAAGCCCTTTCCTTTAAATACCCTGTCAGCACAAACATTCAAACAAGATAGACTTGCTATAAAACAATACCATTCATTTAGTTAAACATTAGTGCAACAGTTCCATGGGGGATTGCTCAATGCTCCATCCTAGAGACAACTGAGAACTTCCCTAAAGACAGGCATAACAAAAGGGGTGCTGCTTTGAAATGACATCCCAAATATTGTCACATCTGTAAAGCACAACCCGAAGCCATGTAAGCAGGCAGTTCTGTATAAAGAAAACAACCTGTGAAAATAGTATTATCAGATACAGAGCAGGAGCCCCCGGTGGCGCAATGGGTTAAACCCTTGTGCTAGCAGGACTGCTAACTGAAAGGTTGGTGGTTCGAATCCAAGGAACAGGGTGAGCTCCCATCTGTCAGCTCCAGCTTCTCATGCAGGGAGATGAGAGAAGCCTCTCACAGGATGGTAAAACATCCGGGCATCCCCTGGGCAACGTCCTTGCAGATGGCCAAATTTCTCACACCAGAAGCGACTTGCAGTTTCTCAAGTCACTTCTGGCATGATAAAAAGACAAGATACAGAGCACTCCAACCAGAGTTACAATGTCAACAAGGTATCAACAGTGGTTCTAGATCAGGAATGGCCAACTGTGGCCCTCCAAATGTTTTCCAAATTGCATCTCTCATCACCGACTTTGCTATATAGGACTGATGGGAGTTGCAAGCTACAAGAGGCCAGAACTATCCCACCCCTGCTCTACATGAAGAACAGATGAATTCCCAAAGACGTGTAAAGAAGTCAGGCAGTCAATTGCTTTCAAAATTATTGTATGTACTCATGTATAAGTTGACCTCATATGTAAGTCGAAGGCAGGCTCAAGGACCCAAATTATGGATTTTGATATGACTCATGGATAAGCTGAGGATTCTTCTATGGCGGAAAAAGAACCACAGCTACTTCAGTTGTTGTTGTTGTTGGCTTCCAGAACTTGGGCAAGTTTTACAGCTCCCTAAAGTTCAGAGCCAACATGGCCATTGTAATTTTGTCAAGCACTTTTGAACTTCAGTTTCATTCTTCTGCATTTCCTCAGAACTCTTAGCATCCAAAGAATACTCCAGCCAGCATTAAAATAAAAAACAGTGTAATACGGTGATTCTATAGCAAGGATGGGCAACTAGTCCTACAGAAAGTTTGAACTACACAATCCTTTGCAGCTGGCTTTGCTGGCTGATATAAATTTGAAGTCCAAAGCCTCTTGAGACTAGTATTAATCAGAACTCTTGACATACAGAGTGAACAAGGACTGTGAATGCACAAATACAAATCACTTTTAGAAGTTGGTGTCTTACATAATACATTGCACTAAACAGATGATTGACAGGAACATACTGAAATAATTTTTCGCAGCGGATCTTTTAAGCATTCTAGAACAATTCAGATTCATGCTAATCCCAAATGTTAAAAATCATCTATAGGTATGGAGGTCACAGACAAGAATGCTTTCCTTTTTCAAATGGGGACACTGCAGATTGCATGCAGAAAGCCCCAGATTCAAAGAATGTGTCACTAGGGTGAAGCCCTTCACCCTGACAATTGATATTCTTTGAATATACTTCATCTGGCATGAAAATATTTGGGTAACAAAAGGGGACTGAAAGGGATTTTTAAATAATCCCAATAGGATTGTGTGTTGATTGTGTATTCCTGCATTGCAGTGGGTTGGGCTGGATGGCCCTTGGAGTTTCTTTCTATGACCTCTCCATGGTTTCAAATGCAAATATTTCTCATTGAAGGCACTTCAACTAGCCCTTTGTGAAAGGTATAGAAACAGAAATAAAAAGTTAGCTGTATATTATGTTTTTCCTTGATTATTTTTTGAAATATGATCAACCATTGATTCTCATTTTATCTCATCTGAAAGTGATAAAAGAAGGATTTAGATAAGTGATATTAAAATTATTGATAATTTCATTACACAGCTCTTGCAGCCCCCAAGAAAATGGTGAAACTCAGCCATTTCTTTGGATCTTGGAAGTTCAGGATTGGTTGCTGTCACATGGCTAGCAATGATCAATTGCCACTTTCTCTTGTGGGCTTTCTATCAGCTGTCACATGGCTTCAGGTCACCTGAGTTCCCTTCCAAGGATATGTGTACATAACACATCCTATAACTTGTGAATTCAAAATTTAAAATAATGTTATTGTGCAGAATTGTTTTTCCATTTCTGAAATAATGCTGTAAGGATTTTGCAAGGGCAACTAAGCTGTTAAAAAATTGCTATTATTGAGCTGAACCACTGCAAGACAAAGTGCAAAGAACCCTTAGATAAACTCGTTGTTTGCTGATTGTGCGAGTGCTTCCCAGAGTTGCTAGGAAATTAAGAAAAAACTGTCAGTACATTTTACAGTTCAACAAGATTGCTATCAGACCTCTGTGTACTCCTGGTTTAAAGTTCAAATGTACTTGACGCCCTGTACTAGATTTTCCTCCTTTAACCAGGGGGTATCAGCAACTAAAAACGCGAAGGCCTTTTTCCTCTACTAGCTGTTCTTGTATTTAAGCTGGTTCTATGCATAACTCAGAAGCCACTTTATACAAACTGTAGACACTCTGCACCTACTGACATATCCACAAGGACCTTGAAAGACTACTGTTTGCAAGCTACTGATTTGTTTGCGATGCTTTCTATGAGCCTTCAAATAGTCAGCAACTTGTGCCAACCCTAGCATGAATCAGTCATGTGGTTTACTTGGCAAGGCTAGTTCTTCTTCAAAGGCTGAGAGAGTATGACTTGCCCAAGGCCATCCAGTGGGTTTCAAGGACTGAGCAAGAATTTGAATTCTAGTCTACAGAGTCCTAGTCCAACACTCAAATCACCATAATGCAGTCACACTGATTTCGACAGGTCAGCTTTGCTGTTTGAAAAGATTTTACAAAAATGTCGTAAAAGCTGACGTCCCTAGAATGTGTTAGCTTTCCAGTCTAAAGTCAATGCGTTACAAAAAGCTGATCAACATTTACTTGACTCTATAGACCACAACAAGGCAAATCTCTAAACTATGTCTGGAGCATATTGCATAGTTCAAGACATTACAGAATCCAGAATTAAGTCCTTACCTTCCAGAACATGTGCCCAGGATGTGCCACTATCAAACCATATATCCAAGACATCTTGGCCTTGTATGTAATCGTTGATATCATGGCTATCAGCCTGTTTCAGAAACACAGAATAAAAAGGCATAAGATAATACAAGTTGAACCCATTTTTCTTAAGTTTTGGCTCTTGCACTCTCTACATATAACTTCACAAAGGGCTACTTGCAGTACAACCATTTCTAAACTTTAATCCTCATTGAATGAGATCTCGTAAATAAAGGGCATATGCCAGGGCTCACTCATATGCACATTACAGAGAGATTAGCAGTATTTACTAGGTTTGTTACAATTAGAAATACTGTGGTACATTAAAAACCAATACATTTATTATGGCAAAGTTAATATACGACATAACTCAGGTCCACTTTATCAGATGCATGATAGCTCTAGAGAAGATACTACTAAATGCATTTGATAAAGCACTCTTTAATACAGGAAAGCTTATGCCATCTTACATGTGCTCTTAGTACAGGAAATCTTATGCCATCTTACATGTGCTCATTTTTTTTAAGAATTAGCAGGCTGTGCGTTTCATCTGTCTGTATATTTGTGAATGGATTCAAGAAGCATTTTCACAAGACTAGTTACTAGTGCAGAGTGTGCGCTGACACAAGCCACTTTTATCTTCCTTTTCAAATTCTGTTCCCCAATGTAAACTCCCAGACCATGTTGCTTGTTCCTTGGCCTCAGGTTAACAACAGGACTGGCAAATGAGAAGGGTAAGGAGAGCAGTAGGGCCTCACAGTCTAGAAGAAGCTTTGGGGTCAACTATGTTCCACATACAGTGATCCCTTGGCATCCATTTGAGTTTGGTTTCAGGAACCACCCCACTCAACCCCCCATTGACACCAAAATCTGTGGATGGTCAAATTCCTTATAAATGGTGTCCCTTATATAACACAGCATAAACTGAGGGCCAACTATATTTTGCTTATTCTCATAATTATTTGTTGCTTTTGACATACCTTGCAAAATAATTAATTTCAAAGAAAATAAGAATACAGCACAGAATCAGAAATCCCACATAGATTTTTAGTCAGTCCACCAGGAGCACAAAACTTCTGCCATCAGGCAAACTAAGAAAGAAAGATGGACTTCTCAGGAGTTGTTTCTACAGCTGGCAAGCAAAGCAGCCCAACTGAAGGAGCAAAGGAGGAAAATCCTCTAGCTGAGCCAGACCCCAGGCTGCTCCAAGGACCTGAGATATTCCTGATGCCCTTGCTTTCTTCCCTCCAGCTTGCCGGGTGAAATAGCCACCCTGCTGTCTCCTATCTGCCTGTCCACATTCTTTACTGCCAGGAACACCCTGGACATGTTTACTAGAAGGCCCATAAGCAACAGGACCAACAAATCTGTTCCATGCCCACAAGAATCATGGGTTGGAATGGAAAAATAATATTTTTTTCAGCTTTCTCTCCTTTATGCACAGCCAGAAGTACCTCCTCTGCTCAGCTTAAAGGCGCAAGTTCAGACTAGAGATGCCTCTCAGTTGGCTGGCCAGTCGCTACTAGCAGCCTCACCCATCACACAGATCTGCTACTAGTGAAGAGTTATGTGTGTGATCACTTTTCCCCCATTGAGACCTGAACTTGCTGCGAGGCTCTTAGGCACCCTGGACCCTGATCTTGAATTTGGCACCAACTTTTAGCCCCTTTAGAAACAGACTAGGAAAGCAGGAAAGAATTCCCTTGGGTTTGATTTACCTTTGCCAGTGCATCACTGGAAAGCAGCTGCTCAATAGGAAGAGTCCACCAGGCATCACTGCCATGCTGCTCCACCACCTTAATAACATTTTCAATGCTTTTTCTATGGAAAAACAAAGCGAAAGGGGAATAACAGGCTATGCAATGACTAATATATATTCATCAAATTATGCATACTGTCTTTCCAGAGAAATATTTCTAGAGAAATACTATAATGTGTTACATACCACCTTGCAAGATATATGGTATTAACATAGCTAATTAAATGATATTACATAGCCTAACTCTAACTGCAAGTCCCAGTCTGGAGAGACCCAATGAATCTATTCTGAAACAGTAAATCAACACTTCCATAAATCCCACTGATTCAATTACAGTGCTCTACTTAGTTAGGACTAGCAAGTAGATTTTGGCATGCATTATGAATATGTAACTTTTCTCACTTCGCTATGATGTCAAAGCTAAGAACAGCATATGTGAAACTACCCAAGAGAATGTAATTTGTCTTTAATTTGTCTTGAAAGGAAGAAGAAACATTTATCTAAATAGCATCAGAAACATTTTACAGTAAAACACACACACACACACACACACATATATATCTTAGAAAGGACACACTCAACTGTATGGCTGGTTTAACACATCACCACTATCCAATACAATTAATTTTATAGAAAACAAGAGGATTTCTTCAAGAAGCATTTTTATCAATGTAGCTATGTAGTGATGTGTTTTATTATCATTTTATTTATTATTTGTATTTTGCCTTTTTCTGGCTTACAAGCAGCTTACATTTCGGGTTGCTGTGAGTTTTCCGGGCTATATGGCCATGTTCCAGAAGGATTCTCTCCTGATGTTTCGCCCATATCTATGGCAGGCATCCTCAGAACTTGTGAGGTTTGTTGGAAACTAGGCAAATGAGGTTTATATATCTGTGGAATGTCCAGGGTGGGAGAAAGGACTCTTGACAAGAGTTCTTTGTCCCACTTGCCTAGTTTCCAACAAACCTTACAACTTCTAAGGATGCCTGCCACAGATGTGGGTGAAATGTCAGAAGAGAATGCTTCTGGAACATGGCCATACAGCCTGGAAAACTCACAGCAACCCAGTGATTCCAGCCATGAAAGCTTTCGACAACACACAGCTTACATTTTTTTGAATAGTGATGAACGAAAATTCACCTCACCAAAACATACTGTAGTTAAACTATTCATTGAATTAAAAGCAACTTTAGAGCAAAACCATTGCACACAAAAAATTACAGAAACCATTAAAAGCTCCTTTCTCCATGAAAAACACATTCCAAAAGGTCTGTAAAAAACCCCAAAACCAACAACACACCACTAATGTCTGTCTAATGCCAGAAGGATACCACAGAGGAGAGGTGTCAAACTCATTTTCATTGAGGGCTACATAAGCCTTATGGTTACCTTCAAACGGCCGTTGAATCTATGGACAAAGACTCTGTGGATACAGAGGACCAACTATACATAGTGGTCAGTGCTCTAAGTTTTTACCCAATATAGGTCCCCAGATGTCACTGAATGGAAAATCCATCACTTTTGATTATCCGCCTTGCGTACTAGAGATAATGGGAATTCAACCCAATAACACTTGTGGCTCTGAGGTCATTGTAAAGTCAGATTTCATATCTACAAACATTGTATCTAAATTCAAATCCCACTATCCTGACTAAACAAAACAAACTGCAGTCTTCCAGACGTTACTGTATCAAAACTCTCGTTAGCTCTAGTCATGATGTGTAATACAAGAGTTGTGGTCCAGCATCTGGAGGGTCACATAAATTGACATGATGGGCAGGATTGAGCCCATGAGCCTTGAGTTTGGCACATGAAGGCTGTTCCAGGGTCTATATAGGCCTTTATAGGTGTTAACTGGCACTGCGAACTGTGCCCCAAAACAGGTTGGCCCTTTAAAAGCTTATATACATACTTGAAACATTTTGCGAAGGCGCAAGACACCAAAGTTGTGACAACTGGGGAAACCATTTGTTTGTGGGAAACTTTCTTTGTACTTGCATGTACATCTCTAAAGAAAGGGTCAAAAGGTAAAGGTTTCCCCTTCACATTACGTCTAGTTGTGTCAAAATCTGGGAGGTGGTTCTCATCTCCATTTCTAAGTCTAAGTGCCGGTGTTGTCCATAGACAAGGTCTTAGTGTTGTCCATAGACAACACTAAGGTCATGTGGCTGGCATGACTGCATGGAGCACTGTTACCTCCTTGCCAGAGCGGTACCTATTTATCTATTCACATTTGCATGTTTTTGAACTGCTAGCTTGGCCAAAGCTGGGCTAACAGTGGGAGCTCACCCTGCTCCCTGGATTCGAACTGCCAACCTTTCGGTCAGCAAGTTCAGCAGCTCAGTGGTTTAACCTGTTACGCCAAAAGGGACCCCATAAAGAAAGGGTACTAGACATATATAACACAATGGAAAGGCATACTCATGTAAAAGTCTAGAATTTTAGTCAAAAAAATCAACTCAAAAGGTCTGGGTTGACAAATCTATTGGTCAATGTGAGTAGTGTACCTTAACTTACGCATGAAAAATGGAACCATCTACTCCTCTGAGAAGAGTGATAAAAGGCAAAGCTTAGTTCATATCTAAAGAACCTAAAATAAGCACCAATCTTCTCTACTCTCTACTGTGGTGCTGATTTTGACCTTTTTTATTTATTTATTTATTTATTTATTTATTTATTTACTCCATTTGTATACCGCATTTATCAGCCTGCGACGGCGACTCAATGCGGTTTACAGTAAAAAGGGCAACACTGACAGTATATAAGACGCACATACACAAACAACACACAAAGTCATCAACGCCTCAATTAGAATCAGATCCCGTTCTCATAGTCCTTTTTCGTTCCTTGTTCAATGCCGTCTTACTGAGTTAGTTGTCATTGCATAGTTGTCCAAACGCCTGCTCATAGAGCCACGTCTTAACCCTCCTCCGAAACACCAGCAACGAAGGGGCCTGCCTGATGTCCACTGGTAGGGCATTCCATAGCCGAGGGGCCACCACTGAGAAGGCCCTGTCTCTCGTCCCCGCCAACCGCGCTTGCGACGCCGGCGGGACCGAGAGCAGGGCCTCCCCGGACGATCTTAAAGTCCTCGTCGGTTCATAGGTGGAGATGCGTTCGGAGAGGTAGGTGGGGCCGGAACCGTTGGCTTGGAAAATGCTGGGGCAGCTACTAGGGGTGGGTGGCCCCTTGAGGCAGTAGAAGGGTTTCCTTCTCTCCGTGGAATGACTCAATTTACACCTTGGTCATATGAAGATTTGGAATTTTACCCCCAAAACCTATCCTCAACTTATACCCAAGGTAGACTTATATATTATATACAGTATAGGCATTCCCCAAGTTACAAACAAGACAGGTCTGTAAGTTTGTTCTTAAGTTGAATTTGTATATTAAATTGGAACAGGTACATTTTTAAGTGTAACTCCAGGTAAAAAATATATGTTTTAGCTTTGGATAGCATAGGGAAGAGTTAACACCCCTGTGGTGTTTGTTTTGCTATCTGTGCTCCTGTTCAGAAGATTTCACCTCACTTTCTGTCCCTGTGATCATTGGATTTATAAAAATTTGGCCTGATGTGGAAATAAGGATTGGTGAAAAAGCTTCAGCTGAGACATCTTTTCCCCATGATAACTCTTTCAGGAGTAAATTTCCCTTCTGAGGGGTAGATTTCTCTCAATTCTTGTTGTCTCATATCCGTTCTTAAGTATGAGTCATTTAAGTCAGATTTTTGTAACTTGGGGGCTGCCTATACTTGTTTAAAGCCTCATACTTCTTACCATTGAGAGTAGCTAGTTGTATTGTCATATTTTGCCTGCTGCTGTGCAATAAATATGAGAAAAGGTATGTATGAACTTATTCTTATAAGCAGGTCTTGATCTACAAAGTATTGGCCTTCAGCTGGCCATATAAAAAGAGGGTTTGTGATAATGAAACCATATTCCAATAATACAGGGAAATCCAAAGGCCAACAGCAATTTGGCACACCATGATAAGATTAGATTATCACATTTGCAATTTGACTAGTAATTGAGAATTAGCTGCGTGGGGGCATGGGATGAGCACAATTTATGAAAGCAATTGCCTGCCTATAGAAGGGTTATAAATGGTAACTTATTGAGACAAAGGTAAGTTACCTTCTGGGATCAAGGAATGAAACCGAACCAATGTTCAAATGACAGGTGGGGAGGCACACTAGTGACTCATACATTTTTGTATTTGTCTTTCAAAATAAATCTTATTCCAGAAATTACTTATTAGTATAATGAAAGACTACTGCATAAAGTTACGTGGTAAATAAATAAAGGTGAAACAGGCATGATCTGGCTTAAGAACTCTCTTCCTTGTAATTTGTGAAATGAACAACAATTTTGCTGCAATGCTTTTATGCTAGCTGCCCTTCCAAGAATACACATCATTAAAATCTTTTCAGGATCTGGAATACTGGCACATCTCTGCTCCCTTTTCGCATATAAGCCATTCCCAGAAGGTTTTCTCAAAATGGTGGCCAACACCAGAATTATGCTTCCTCTTCTCACACATCACGAACAAACTAAGGCAAAAGTTTTCTCTGCAGCGTACATTCAACACCTTCCTCAAATAACTACTTATCACTCTCAAAACGGCAAAGCTCCAGTTGCGGAACAATAATTCACAATGTAAGCAAAAGCAGCCCTGTTGTAAAACTTTGCCCTGCATTCATATTCCATATCGGACAGAACTGGCATTACGTGTCATTCTCTAAGTTTCTAGCATGAAAATCCACAGGGCAATTCACGCTGCCATGACGCCAACCAATCATTTTGAACCCTGATACTGATTAGGCCCAATGCTTATTTAGTGCGGAATTAAGCAGTGTTGGAGATATTTTCCACCAGAGGAAGAAACCGGAGCTGGTGGTCGCTGCTCCTTTCTGGTGCACAACGAAGGAAGCCAGGTAACCTTTCTTTTACAAGATTGCAATTTACTTCCCAAGTGAGGAATGAAGAGGGACACTACAAGTCTACAGAGATTAACATATTTGGTGTTCTGAGTGCAAACTATGCCTCTGATGGATTATATTATT